ACTGAAGACGTCAAGGCCAAGCTGAAGTCGGTCAGAGACATGTTCCGCGCCAAGTATGTCTTCGCTTGCGAGCAGACGCTCAAGATGCGTTACTGCGATCCTTCTACGCTTGAAGACGACGACGAAGCGCTTTCCTGGATGACTCCGGCTGTAAGTTCCAAACATATCACTACTACTATGGATTCAGTATACTGACACCAACAGCAACGTTGCTATGCCAAATGGCGCGGCTTCCGCCACGACGAGCGCTTCGCCGACACTATCGTGGGCTATGCGAGCCTGCCGGTACACGGTGGACCTCCGAATGATCGGAGGAAGCAGTCAAGTGCTATTGCAGTCCCGAAGTTGAATGAGCACGACGCGGCGTTCATGGCCGCACTCCTAAACAGCGATTGGGAAGGCGAAGGCGAGGACGACGACGAGGAAGTTGACATTTTTGCCGATTGAATGTACCCTTAGCGCGATATCAGTATTACATTTGAGGGCTACGGCTGTGTTATGGAGAACAACTAGATAGCCGTTGCCTAGTTATGACAGATACGGAAGGGCTGTGGGTGCACTTGCCCCCGCTGCCGAATGTACTTCCTCCCAGCCAATGATCGTGTCCTTGCCATGTTGATGTTGAATGTAATCTCCTTCCCTCACGCCACCTTCTGCATCGCACCATCAACACGTTCTGGCCGATGCCAACCAACCTACATCATACCAAGAGACGACGTAGGTATCGCAGCCCATCGTGACCTCACCACACACGTACTATTCTGCGGCCTACGTCGAATATTACCCAGGTGTCTTACTTCGAGTACGTACCATCGAAGGCACCTGTGTCATTGTCCCTTCTTGTTAACGTTCCTAATCTAGAGACACAACGGCGACTCCCCTGCAAGGTTCGGTTGCGCCATGATATGAGCATCGGGGACTTTAAGCTTGCGATAGCGCGTTGGAATTTCCCGAAGTCGTAGGAAGACCAAGAGGCCAACTTCGTCGCCATCGCCGCCAAATTGATCTTCACCAGAGGTCAATTTCACAAGGAACAAGAGCAGTCGCAAGGCCAATGCGAATACATCACGTCGCACATGATGTTTTACCGCCTTTTACAAACAATATCTTCTCTTGAGCCAGAGGTTGAAGGGAACCAGCGCTACGCTATCACAGCAGGACACGTTCTTGCAGGCGGTGACAAATTCTGGGTCACGAACCGTGCGAATGAAGAGCGGATACAAGGTAGGGTAGCGACCCTCAGAAATCCTTGCCTCTAACATCGCACCAGATTGACCACGCACCGTAACATCCAGACATAGCACAACTATTCCCATCGCAGAACTCATCGTATCAAACTCTGATACAACACTACAAACATGTCCACATCATCTCCGACCAAGCGCGTCGCATCCTCCGAGAAACAGCCGGAAGGCTCTGGCAAAAGGCCTAAGGACGAAGATTATCCGTCCCCGAATATCTCCCCGGTCGAGAACGATCCCAATAATAGGCCATGGGCGAACAACTACAATGCACCCGTGATACGGACTGAGGCAACTCTCGCGGACTTCAAAGCCGCTATAGCGGACTGGAATTTTCAAGCGTCATTGCGGGACCAAACCGACGCAGCAGTCACTTGCGCGTACGGGACGAATGTTCACCAGTGAACCACGTCCAGAGTCAACAACTCGTGATAATATCCTACTGTCGCTTGCCTTCTTTTCTCGACCCCTGCAAACATTGCATTTCTTTGGGTATTTATCACAATCAAGACTCAATCTATCTATGCTAATGTTAATCTGCCTGCTATAGTTGCGCGAAGTTTATCCATCGTCCCTTTCAATACTACTATGGAGTCCACTACTGTCCGTATCGATATCAAGAACATAAAGCAACGCCTTATCTCTCTCGAGAAGCCGACGACATGGTCCTCTACGTCGCCACAGCATCCGAAGACTCGATAGTCAAACTGCCAAGTTGGCTACAGATTCCGTTCGTCAAGATAGTCCCCGATCTCAACATGACATATACACCCGAGGGTACCGCTTTACATTGGATCGCATTCGTCTGGGTGACACGATCTCCGACCACCTTGGAGCCTACGTTGCCGTCAGGTCATACACTTTGCACGTTTTTATCCTGATGTAGGCTTTGGGCCTACTCGATCTTTCCTTCGGACGAGTGGATGAGCTTTCCAGCGATAAAGCAATGGATCAATTCAATGAAATCCGATGGCGCTTCCCATCCTATAAGCACAAGCCACAACCAGAACGACCCACCATGGAAGGGGGTTTCAAGACGGACGACGAGCAAGATCTACTCGCTGAGTACAAGGACCTCATCGACCTTGACATACACAGATGGGTCGGTATAATCGAATGGTTGGACGGCATGGCGTTTGGCGTTGCTGGAGACTCGGGGGCATTAGATGCCATCGAAAATTCTGTAAAGATCCCATTGGGGCTACATATTGGATCGCCACAACGACACGCGAGATCCACCACGGGCGCAAACTTCAAAACTGCTTCTCACCCTTTCTCGAACAGCCTTTGAAGTACTACTGCAAGCCATTCATAAACACAATGACCTCCGAATCTCCCACCAAGCGCAATGCCGCATCAAGATCACCGCTCGCAAGCCCAAACAAACGGGCGAAAGAACAAGGCTTGCTGACACCGGACGATTCCCCGGTTGACAATGTTTTCGGCGCATTGCCTTGGGACGACAAGAAAAGGCCGGTTAGGTTGCGCCATGACATGAGCATCGGGGACTTTAAGCTTGGTGTACTCGATGGACAAGTCCATCAAGATCCCCTTGGGAATCCATCTTGGGAAACGCCCAGAGTCGCACTCTGAGCAGTCAAGTGCGTTTCTGTCGTTAGACAGCTACATGATCGAAGCGCATCTGCTTGGGCTGCAACTTGAATTTGCAGACGAAAAGAGCGGGTAGGGGAAGAGGATGTTTGTGCGCTTCACGCAGCTAGAAAGTGACCGAGAATATCGTTTGGATAAATTGTATCCCTCAAGTACGCAGATATTGCGCACATTCGTGACATAGCATCAGCCATGTAGTCGCTAGAGTCCATGATGATCACGATTTTCTCACTCCGCGGGTGCGATGTGGTCGCCAAAGGACATCATGATCACGACTTCTTCGGGCCGCTAATCCGATGTAGTCGTCCTGCCATTGCCCTGCTTCACTCTGGTGTATAACCGTCCAGAGAACCTTTTTCGACCATCACTAATTCTTGGAGCCACTCCGGCAGCACCGGAATCTTATCGTCATTCGTGTAGTGCGCCGTATATATGTACTTCGTCCCGAAGGCAGTGCCCATACCTGGGAATCCCAGCGCGGCAATGAAATTTTCAATTGCCGTCAACAGGGCGCAATGTAAGAGCCACCTCCGGCTGGCCTCGCTACCCCAAGGTCCGGTGCTGATGTCATAGAGGTATGTTTCGGCACGGTCGAAGTGCGCGGCGGGCTGTTCCTCGAATCTTTTGAACTTCCAGATAGCGCAGAGTTCTTTGACCTGGGCGTATGATGGTGATTTAGGCGTCGGCCGCGGTGGTGGTGGGTAGCGAATTCGGCGCCCGCGAGTACCGTCCGCTCAGATGTGGTGTGTTGGTCGAGGAGGCGTAACGCCGGTGCTAGTTTGCGTTGGAGTCGACATAGTAGTTCTTTGTGGAAGCGGGACAAGAAAAGGCCGGTGTTCAGTTTTGGTTGGTAAGTCGATCTGAAGTGCTGTTTTGATCCGCAAGTTTCAGTTTTGCAAAGAAGTCGCTATATATACGAATATCTGCTGGGTAGAAAGCTGGGTGTGGTTCGTAGCGGGTGACACTACCCTGGTTCTGTTATGACACACAAGGGAAACGAGCCAGTCGCAAGTTTTACGCTCCCAACGAGATCCATAAGGGAGGAAACTCGCATATCAAAGTCGTCGAAAAAGGACAAGCATGAGGGGTGCCGTTCATCGCACCTCGACTCGGGCACACGGCATGCGTTGCATGCGAAATCAATGCGCTGGCGTTTGTTAGCTAGTCGATGCAGCCATATACGCGGCTGACTCCGAATCCGGCGTGGTGATGATGATGATTGTGATGGAGATGGCAGGGAGCGTCTGGACATGCCACTTTACAATCCACAGACGGGTTATCACGTGTCTGCTTATTCCCGTCCGGGGCGTGGTAGCGTCTAACTAGGTCAACCCGGGGTAAACTCGGCACGCCCGCCTGCCATCTAGTCACGCCAGGAGCCAACGGGGCTACGACGCATCACGACACCACCCAAGTGATGACTTCCTCGATACACCCAGCGGCCTACCTACTGAATCCTTGCATCGCCTGTCCGTCGCTCTCCACAGTCGTACGTCATCGTTGCGCCAAAGTCGCAGCACAAGTACCATCCTGTACACAATGGTCGGAAACATGAACAGCGACTTTCACGTTGCCATTGTCGGTATGCATGTTTGCACACTAACCTATCTTCTATTCTATTGTACTAACAGGCTATGTAGGCGCGGGCATTGGTGGCCTCGCCCTGGCGATGGCGCTGCACAAGAAATCCGTTCCCTTCACCCTCTACGAGGACGCCAAGGAGTTTTCAGCTGTAGGGTATGTCCTCATCACCAGGCCTCTCACCTAGGCTTCCTTTGCTTACTTGATCAAAGTGCTGGTATCGGTTTTGCGCCAAATGGCATGCGAGCCATGGATCTGATTGAGCCTGAATTCTGTCCCTTGTATGAGAGGATTTGCGTAGGGAACAAGGGTGCCGACAAACAAGACATCTTTTTTGAGGGCATGCTTCTTAGTGAGGGTTTGGGTATGGACCTCTTCTTTGCCACACCACTTCTCGCTGTGCCTATTGTTAACCTGCTATTGCAGGCAAGGACCAAGCATGGTACGGCAAGTCAGCATGGGGCCATCCTGATTTCGAGCGCAAGTCTGTATGTGCTTCAACCCATCGCCATCAACACGAGTATTGCTGACTGGCACTAGGCACATCGAAAGGCCCTGCTTGACATCATGACCAGCTTCATTCCACGACCAAATGTCAAGTTCAACAAGCGCCTCGTCAACATTGAACAGCTCTCATCCAAGCTTGTCCTTACCTTTGCCGATGGAGAAGTTGCAGAAGCGAGCATTCTTGCTGGGGCCGACGGCATCAAGAGCACAGTCCGCGAGCATGTCCTGAAGCCGCAATTTCCAGACCAAGTAGCGCCAGTCTACGCTGATGCGTATTGCTACCGTGCTGTCATTCCAATGGCTGACGCCGAAGCTATTCTGGGAGAATTGACACACGTAGCCAAATTTTACTTTGGCCATAAGCGCAGCGCAGTAACGTACCGTATATCAGAGGGAAAGGTATGTCAGTATCCATGTCCAAGCAAAGAAATGTCGCCGTACTCATCGCTAGTTCCTACAGGAGTTCAATTACCTCTTGTGTGTCACAGACGAGCGAGGCTGGCAACTAGACAACGCTGTGACAGAGCAGGTCTCACATGAAGCCATGATGGCCGATTTCGAGGGACCAGGCGTCGATGACCGCTTCCGCCAACTTTTGGCCAAGGCCAACCCAATCCGATGGGGTTTCTTCCACCACTTGAAAACTTCAACATATTACCGAGGCCGTGTGGCTCTTATAGGCGATAGCGCACATGCGTCATTGCCGTTTCAGGCAGCTGGCGCTGCTCAAGGCGTTGAAGACGCTCTAGTCCTTTCGAACATATTGTCAGAGCTTGTCAAATCATCGAGACAGGAAGCAATTAGCGAAGCAAAGATCGTTGCTGGTCTCAGCGCGTACGACTCGATACGAAGGCCGCGCGCCCAGAAGCAACTGGAGCAGGCGGCTGAGGTTGCTCGTATGATATTCTTCCAACACGAAGAAGCAGGGAACGATATGAGCAAGATCTTGCCTCGCCTTCAGCAAGGTCGATTTGACTGGCTCTGGTTCCACGACGTGCAGGGTGATGTAGACGAAGCCTTATCGAGAATGCGCAAGCTGGACTTGAAGCCATAAAAGTTATGAGCTATGTCCTGGAATACCCAGACAATGTTATCACTATCGATCATGTCCTTATCAATGAGGTTCGATATGGGCAGTTGCGCCACAAATTCGGCTACCTCGGGGTCCACACGAATTTACCCCACCCAACATTGGAAGAAGAGGCCGTAAAACCGATGGCTCCATGCATTTCATGTAGCGACTTGATCAAAGCCATAACGCGGTCAAAGGCGCTTGTCATGTGAACAAGTTGACCTGGCGTAGCCGCGTCAAACCCGTTCGTTCCGCGGTGCGACCCGGCACCGGTAAATCCGGGAAGATCTCCCTAGCCCGAACAAGCCCAGCAGCAAGTGCGGGGCACGACAGATAGAGCGAACAGTTTGCAATGAGAGTGCTAGACTCTGCGACTAGAAACTACGCTCAGGGTGCATCTCCCGTTTCTAATTACGACATCGATCAGATAACAGGCGCCTGGATTCACTACTGGCATTCTACTCCAACCCAAGCCAACAGTCGCTATTCTCTGGTCAATCTACGGGTCTCTACAATATGCCAGACACTTCCGTGCCCTCTCGTTTGACTCAGCTGCCACTAGGTAATGAGCAACCACGATACAATGCTTTTGAACTACAAGCCTACTTCCAGCGCATCAGTCTCCCTCAGAAATATTCGGATGCGCCCATATGGATGGACAAGACGCTGGCCACTACCAAAGAGCACGGCCTTCCTTTATTACAGGCTCTGATGAGACACCACACCTGCCATGTCCCCTTTGAGAATCTCGAGCTTCATTATTCCGCACAAAAGACCGTCTCACTCAACATACGAGCCCTGTATGCCAAGATAGTCAAGCAGCGACGCGGCGGTCGCTGCATGGAAAACAACACCTTCTTCGCCACCGTTCTCCGCTCCCTCGGGTTCCATGTGCGCAACTGTGGCGGCCGCGTGTCGCGGGCCATGAGCCCTTACCCAGAAGTTCGTCGGCAGCAAGCGGCCACATACGATGGCTGGAACCACATGCTGAACCTTGTGCGATTCGATGCGGGCTGGTACGTCGCAGACGTTGGCATGGGGGCCATGGGTCCCAATCTCCCGTATCCATTGCAAGATGGATTCGAAACGACGAGTATTGCTCCCAGGCTCATACGCGTCCAACGACGCGCTATTGCAGAGTCGTATGGAGACCACTCGAATGAACTGTGGTGTTATGACGTTTGCTACGATCCGAGCAGCGACGAGGGTGACAGGAAATGGACGCCGGTTTATTGTTTTACGGAGACGGAGTTTTTGCCGCAGGATTACGAGATCATGTCGTGGTTTACTTCTACGAATCCGAATTCTTTCTTTACGAGATATGTTACTAGTACGAAGATGCTCATGGACGATGCTGGAGAGAGGATCGTGGGCAGTGTGACGCTTTTTGAAGGCGGGGTCAAACAGAGTATTGGGATTGACCGCGAGATCGTACGAGAGTGTGCGACAGAGGAGGAGCGTATTGCCGCTTTGAAAGAGATCTTCGATATAGAGCTGACAGAAGAGCAGAGAAAGGGGATTCCAGTAGAACTGAGACTGGGTTAGGTTAGTCGATGCAACAGCTCTTTCCCTTCTATCAGTCTCTCCAGATTCTCTGCTGTCTCTTCATACCAAGTCGTCAGAGTACCTTCTTCAACATATCCCATATGTGGCGTGAGTAACACCCTGCTCTTGCCTTTGACATCCCAGTCTTCGCTACGCCAAGGGCTGTCAGAAGGAAGTGGTTCGATGTCAAACACGTCTAGCGCGGCGCCACGAATGCGCCCATGGCACAGGGTGTCCAGCAATGCAGCTTCGTCGACAAGCGGGCCTCGCGAAGTGTTGATCAGGAGGCCGGTTGGTTTCATCCACCCCAGTTCCTGTGCGCCGATGATACCCTGTGAGCGTTCGCTGAGGACATAGTGCAGACTTACTACATCAGAAGATGTGAAGAGCTGCTCTTTGGTAACCACCTTGAATGTCTTTTCGTTCGCATCTGTCATGCCTCCGCCAGTCACAGGCAGCCCGCACTCTTCCGCCAACTTATCGGCCTTCTCCTGTGTCAGGTTCGCGCTCCAGCACACGACTTTCATGCCGAAAGCGAGAACGCCAACCCTTGCGACATGTGCTCCGATTCTTCCCAGGCCGACTAATCCCAATGTCTTCCCCTGCAACCCCATCGCGAGCTCCGTCTGCCACCCAGCCGGCACACCCTTGCCCTTGACGACAGCATCGTCTGCAGCTATGTTCCGCGCAAGCCCCAATATAAGCGCCCAAACATGTTGTGTCGTAGGATGCCCGCCCCCCTGCTTGACCGGCAAAGATCGCGGAGATGTACCACTACCCTTCCCGTCCGTCCTGCCCTTGCCAGGCGCTGCGTATACCGTAATGCCCAATTCCTTCATTGTATCCAGATCCCAACTCTGAAAGTTGCCGCCCGTCGCGAACATGACCTTGAGGTTCGGCAGTTGGCGGAGCAGTTCGCCTGGAAACGGGGTGCGTTCGCGCATGGTGGAGAGGGCGGAGAAGGGTTTGAGGCGGTCGACGAGGGCTTTGCGATCGGCATCGGATATCTTCGGGTGCGCGTACGACGGCAAGGTATCGTTGAAGACGGTTGTTTCGACTTTCGAGGAGTCGATGTGGGCGAAGTGCTGGGCTGCTAGGTTATGGTAGTCATCGAGGACGGCGAGCTTGATGGGGAGCGAAGCCATGGTGCGTCTGAACGTATGCGAAGAAGAACGGGCCAAGAATTGAAGATGACGAGATGAAGAGAGACGTTGGATAAGCATGGCGCTGTGGTTATATGATGCATCACCGCGTACCGCAGGTAGCTATCTCGGCACTTGTGTCGGAATGAACTGAGGGGTTCATTGGCGCCTGAGTCAATTTATACTGCTTACTGGAATTCATTGGAAAAGCTCAATTAGAGCTGCTGATTTGCCGGCGACACCACATGATGTTGGTTTTCATTGCGCGGAGAAAATGCGCGGCTCAATTTGGTGCGTAGAAGGCGGAAATGGTGTTGGATGATCGGATAACGATGCGTGATGTGCCGTGCTAGCTTACTAAGCCGAGCGGCTCGGATTCGGCGCGCGGCTTCCTCGTCACTCCATTCTCCATCACCTCTTCAACGCGCAGAACCTTCGAATCACGTCATGGGGAACAACATTGAACCACGCACTACTTCGAGCCCAGAGGTTATGCCTGATGATCCTCAGCTACTACTGCGAAGCACGCCACCGTTACTGTGACGAGCTTACGCTTTACACGACATTGACATGTCATCAGCATTTCACGTATGCGCCTGAAATGGGCGGTCAATAGTATTGCCATTGTGTGAGATATCGCACTCAGAATTCACAGCTGCATTTGCAGGCTCGATTGATGTCTACGAACTTCATTCCAGGGGGCCAGGCGCTTCAAGGTAGGTATTTAATGACAGAGCTTACATTTTTCAATGCAGATGCATCACCACTATAGTTGGGGCACTGATTTCGCCCTTGTTTCCTTCTTCTCCTTCTCTCTGCATAATACCGCAGCGCGGCTTCAACATGAAACTCCTTGTAAGCATACTGACCTTGTCGCTGAGCACCCATGCTCTGGCTTTCGATTTCGCTCTAGCAGCTCCTATCAGACGCAGCGAGCGTGCGGCACATACGATAACAAAGACCATCTATCACACCGAAGTGCGAAAACTATCTGTAAGCGTCAAGAACCACAATGCTAGGAGTGACGGTGTGGTGTCCGACTCCTCTATATCTACTTCTGATGGGCAGGTTTCCGAGGATGTGGACGACGACATCGCGACATCTATGGCAACAGCATTCTTTTGGCCGAGGGGGCCAGGAGGGCAGAGGCCTACGATTTCGCAACTACCGGTTACTGGCCTACCTGTGAGTTTCAACGCGAGGCAAGTCGGCTTCGTACATTTCGACGATGACACCGAACGCGAAGACGCTCTCCATTTGGGAGCAAAAACCGTGAATAGAAGGAACACCGACCTCTACCATATCAAGATCGACCTCGCATCTGAAGGCTACATTTCGGTGTTCATGTCCAATAGCACGGCCTCTGCGTTCTGCACAAGCGAGGTAGAACCGGACTCTGAGGGTGGACCAAAAGTAGCACTGCAGCTAGCTGTTCGGAACTCTACAAAGATCGTGGCTATACCTGTACACCAAGAAGCGGCTGCTAGCTTCTGCCACCATTTCAAGAACGCGGAGGGTGGCGACAGTTCACCGAGTGGCAAAGCTTCTGGGAGCTCAATAGCATCAGCTTCGGTATCTGAAGGAAAGACATCGAAGGTCGTCCCCAGCGAGACAACGTCGGAGAGTGTGTGGAAGTCATCCAAACACGCGTCTACGACAGTCACCGCTTCGGAGACTGACACTGATGACTCGGCATCAGCAACATCTGCGACCTCTACCAGCAAGACAACTACGCTGAACACCTTCGATATCACTCATGAGATAGAGACTTCGAAGTCCACAAAACATGTACCTACGGAGGATATAGCCTCCGAGTCGGGATCTGCTACCACTGATGAAGGTACAGGTCTGACCGTGTCTAAGACATCCAAAGCGGACGACAGCAGCAGTGGATCTGGGGCAACAAAGTCTTCAAAGCACAAGTCCACCTCTATAGCGGCTTCTGACAGTGACTTGGACACTTCGGAATCAGCGACTGATGTATCCAGCAAGCACAAGACCAAATCTACAGCGAGCGGAGCTGACGAAGATTCGTCAAAGACGGTCGAAGCTTCAGTTACACCGACGATGTCAAAAGCTGCGAACGCCGAACCTTCTGAACCCGAAGAGAGCGCCTCACCTTCGACCAAGGCAAAGTCGAAGACTTCCGATGCTTATGAGACTGAGGATATCCCCGAATCTGCAAAGTCGGTCCAGGAGTATCGAGGTCCAGCTGTAGACCCTGCAAACCCTGCTGACCTAGACACATCCACGACGCCCAAGGCCACACCAGCCGCTGTTCCTGTTAGCACAACTACAGACGAGCCGTTCACTGAAGCAAGCATAAACTCGTTTTACTCGTATATAAAGAGCTTTGTAGAGACTGCTCCAGACCCACCATCAACCGCACACATTGCTGATCAGACTTCGATCAAGACGACCGACTCTATGAACGGGGCTCTGCGACGTGGAATACTAATAGCGCCAACGCCGGCCTTGATAGGTGTTGGGGCTGATACTTATCGTCAATCAACAGATGACAGTATGACACATACCTCCGACTACAGCTGGAAGGGTGCAGTCTCTACTGCTATAGCTTCTACCACAGCGTCGAGTAACGCAGCGATAGGTAGACTGAAACCACCTTCCCTACTCTGGCGCATGTGGTACCCCACGACTATTACCAAAGTCATTCATTCGAGAAGCTTCAGTGGGCCTGGTGAAGAGCCTGAGCAGGAAGACGAGGGGTTTTTCAATATCGATGTAGAAGATGATGGGCCCACCAGGGTCAGTGCTGGTACTGATGGAGCAGAAGAGGAGACGGCTATTGCTACGAAGTTTGCGCATAAGCAAGAGGATAAAGATGCGGATGATGAAGGTATCGATGTGAAGGATGGAGACGAGGAGGAGGAAGAAGAGCTACCGGCTGATGAGGAGACGGTACCTGACGAAGAAACTGAGACTAATGAAGGGGCGGCTGGAGATGACGAGATGCCTACGTCTACGAAGAGCAAGGCTTTACATACCAAGACTGCAGCAGTTGAGGAAGATGACAGCGCGCCGACCGCCGACACATCTACGGACGTTGAAGAGAAGGTCACATCCATCAAGAAGAAACCTGCAGATAACGATGATGAGACCACCCCGACTGTCACCGCATCCGAAGACGTCGAAGGAAAAGCGACATCCACCAGAAAGACACCCACAGACGATGATGACGAAGCTACACCAACTTTCACTTCATCCAAAGATGCCAAGGAAAAGGCAACGTCTTCAAAGACAGTACACGTAGACGACGACGAGGAAGCTGCACCTACTTCCAAAGCAGCCGGTGATACTCCTCCTGAAGATAACGATGACGAAGAGTCCCAAGTCGACACTTCCGCCGACGACACCACTACAAGCACCTCCCACAAGCCTAAGTCCACTAAACACGCGACGTCCAACACAGATGACGACGCTGACGAGGAGCCCACCGCCTCCTCCAAATCTAAATCCAAATCCACTCACAAGTCCAAAACGACAATTCCCTCCCTCGCCTCAGGCGTATCTTTCGCCTTTCCCTCCACCAGCCCAAACGCCACACCTGTGCCTACACCACCCCCCTTACCAACAGGCACAGGACCCCTCCCCATGCCAACACAACCCATAATCTGGGACCCAGACTGTCCACAGATCTCAACGTCAACGCTCACCGCACCCAACGGCGTTACCACAACACTTCCAATGACCGTAGGAGTGGGGTGTTGGCGCACGCTGCCACAGGCTGAGAGTGGTGGGAACGAGACGAGTGGGACGAACTCGCATCTCCTGAAGAGTAAAGCGTGGAACATTCTGTCCGATAAGCAGAATATGAAGTTGGGGGTTGTGTGTTGGATGGTCATTGGGTTTATCTTCTTCCAGTAAGTCCATCCCTTCCCCCTCCGCTGTACATCATTCCTCTCCTTCTCTTCAGTCTTTTGAGGAACGAAGCGCTGACCTATGCTATCGCTGCTTAGGTGGTTTGTAGGCCAACTCCAATTCGTACGCGGGGAATGGCATTCCGGCCGGACGTTCGCATGGTATATACTCGGTATGGAGATGCTCGGGATAGGGCGTCGGCTCGGAGAAAGGGCCGAGGAAGCGCAGAAGGTGTGGGAGAAAGAAGAGAGGGAGACGGAGAGAGTTGAGCGGTTGGCTAGGCTGGGTGGGTGATACCGTATTTGGTATTTGAGTTGTTTGGGGGTAGTTGAGGAAGGGGCGGGTGGGCTGAGGGGATGGCTGTTGCGTTAGTTACAAGACGCTCACGGTGGTTTTGTGATGGTGCGATGCGATGCGAGTTGTGTTATTCTATATACATACAAAGTCTATGACTGTAATTATTCTGTATTTGGGTATCATATGTAAACAATTCTCAGACTGCGAACAACACCCCTCCCCTCTCAGGCAAAACTGCCCTATTCTTCCCTTCCTCATCAGCCAGCCTTTACACCAACTCTCCTACCCAGCCCTAATAGATGCAGTCGTTTGTTCCTCACATTCTCGGAACAAAAGCAACAAACGACTGCATCTACCCATGCTGAGTAGCAGTGTTGGAAGCAACGTCGGCGGTCACTTCTACCACCTGTGCCCTCTGCCCTCTCACTCCAATCTTCCACCACATCCTACTACGCAGCCCAAGCAGATGCGCCAGTTCCCCCATACTCCCTCAGAAGTGACAGGAAGTTTTCAAGTAAATGATTCACTTAGAACACTCCCCGTCACTTCTGAGAACGTATAGAGCAAACGACTGCATCTACTCGGGCTGAGCAGCAGTGTTGGAAGCGACGTCGGCGGTTACTTTGCTACCTCTTCCCTCTGTCCTCTGCCCTCCTCTCTCAAACCCCAATCTCGTACCCCAACTCTCCCACCCAGCCCGAGTAAATCCACCAGTTACCAGTAATTCCATACTCCCTCAGAAGTAACAGGAGGTTTTCAAGTAGGTAGTTCACGTCAAAACCCCCCATTATACATCCGAGAACGTATGAAACGAAGAAGCGTATATACTTAAGCTGAGCATGAGCGTTAGAGTTGAGACTGACGACGACCCTCCTCCTTGTTTCATTTACAATCTTGAGCTTCAAGCAGCAGGCAACAGGCGAAGTCCGTGTGGGTGGGCAAGGTTCCATCTCTCTCGCAGTCTCCTCGCAATCTTCCTAGATAGCAACCTGGAGGTTTGAATGACATGTACGCGATATAGTGGTGGAATCTCCTATGTAAGACAAGGCGAGTTTCCTTTAAGATGATCTGAGGTCACTCGTCTTGTCCCACATAGGAGGTGCTACCACCATATCGCGTACACCCCACCCAAGCATCTGAGCTCCGATTGACACGAGCTGTTGACTCTGTCTCTTGCTTCCCCCACCGTACACCACCCACCTGTTCAAGTAAGCAAAATCCTTGCATCCTCATGCATAATCATAACCTCCTCATTCTCAAAACTGTACTTCCGCCTCACAATCTCAAACACAATGAGTCCCGCCGCAGTACTCGGGACCTGTTTGATCGTGCTCATGAAGAAGTCTCTGTAAAGATACTTCCTCCAGCCGCCAGCCCTTTTCGCTAAAACCTTGCACTGAGCAAACGTTTCTTCATAGGCGTGGTAGTAGCGGCGGACGATATGACTAGGCTTGTTGTCTTGGTGGGCCTGGAAGTCCAGGGCTTCGAGACGCCGGTAATGGACATCTTGGATTTCGGTCAAGGGGTGCTGGATGAGTTGGGAGGTGATGGATGCGGAGACGCCGGCGAGGAGGAGGAACATGGGTTCGAGCATGTAATGCGGGCGGATGACGGGGCGGTCGTCGTGGTCTTCTTGGAGGTAGGGGATTGACTTTTCGAGGAGAGTGTCGCGCGTGCGACTTCCGTAGTATCTTGATACAAACTCGAGATAAGCTTGGCTTTTCACTGTTTCGAAGGTGCCGAAGAAGACTGCGGCGCCGAATGCGTCTTTTATGAAACTTAGCGACCACCCGGCAAAGATGCCTTGGACACCGATAGATCGTAGTTTGTGTCCGGCGTAGTGCCACATTGTTTTGTGGCGGCCTTCGAGGATGTCGGCGGTGCGGAATCGGGTTTGCAAGGCGTCGAAGGGGGCGGCGATAACGGACTGGCATGAGCCGCCTATGAAGCCTGCGGTAAAGGTTATGGAGGGGGGAGGGGGCGGGTAGACGCGTTTGGTCTGGTAGGAGGACGGTTCGTGGAGGGCGGAGAGGGAGTGCAGGTAGGCTGTATAGAGGACTGCGCCGATACTGGGGGGTGTTAGTATTGATGTGCTCGCGGGGAAGATGGTACATACCAAGTGTTAGCCATCAGCGGTGGCAGCACCTGCTTCGGTATGAACCCCCATCCCTCAGTGCGTATAGCATGCGCCAATACGGCCGGCGTAGTCATCCTCCATGACCATTTCGCATCCGCCATAACATGTGGATTTATTGCCCTCGCATAGCTCATATAGTCTATTCTCCCCCTGAAGAAGGCTTTGACTGGTGCTCGGAAGTAAAAGGCAACCATCCTCGCAGCTACGGCTCGCATACCAGCGGCCTGCACACCCGTCGCTGGTGCCTTGTTGGGGGCTTGCGGGGCATCCGGCGTAGTGGTCGTGGTGTCATTGGAGGCATCGCTTCGGAGGGAGACTCCAGCGCGAGGACTGGAGCCGGTCGTCATCGCATAGTGTTGGTGGTTGGGGAGGTTTGCAGACGCATGGGTGGGGTGGTGAGGGTTTTGAGATGGATGAGGCAGCCGCGTGGGATGGTCACAAGATGGGGAGTGACTTTGGACGTGACCAAAATGTGGGAGTCTACAACAACAAAAGATGACCAAAGTATGTACAGGAAGAGAACGTGACGTGGAAGGATGTTGCCTAGGAAGATGTGGGGTTTATGAATGCTAGCTGTAGGGAACTTTGCTCGGTGAGGTTGGCGCTAGTATGATTGTGGAGTTGAGAGGCGCACGGCCCCCCAGCGCGTACCTCGCGTCGCATCATCCTTTCGCGACTTTCTCATCGCTGCCTTCTCTCTTCCACCTTCTCCCCTCGCAGCTACGCCAAACCGCCTGGAGGATATCTTCAGCGCATCCCCAACCATGGCGGAGAACGACATTGTCATCGACAAGGCGCTATTTCATGAGCGCCTCAACGCCCTCGTCACCAAATGGAAGGCCGACAAGCGCTCCGGTGACGCTGTTTTCCAGGGCGCAAGCTCTATCGCAACCCTCGTGGGCAAGGCGAGCGAGCCGGGTATCTATTTGAAGCCAGCGGCGTTCCAGGTAAGATTGCGCATTTCGACATGTGATGGATGGACAGTGAGCTGATGAGACCCCAGCTATGGCTGCTAGGCTACGAGTTTCCCGCGACGCTCTTCATCCTGACCCCCGATCTCCTCCAGATTGTCACAACCAAGAAGAAGGGTGAGTCTGCCGCCACTACTTGAGTTTGAGCACATTCACTAATGAGGATAGCTTCCTACCTCGAACCGCTCAAAGGTGGCAAGGTGCCGGTTGAGATTCTCGTCCGCGGCAAGGACGCCGAGGAGAACAAGAAGCAGTTCCAGACATGTCTCGAGACGATGAAGAAGGCGGGCAAGAAGGTGGCGGTGCTGAAGAAGGACAACGCCAACAACGCCTTTGCGAACGAGTGGAAGGCCGCCTTTGACGAGGCTGGCTTCAAGGAGGAGGACCAGGTCGATCTGGCCTCCATCATGTCCAACGCTGCCTTGTCCGTCAAGGACGAGAAGGAGCTGGTAAGCCCAAGCTTACGACTCCGCACTGGCATTACTGACCTTTTAGCGAACTATCCGCGACGCCGCCCGCGCCTCGAGCGCCCTCATGTCCAACTACTTCGTCGAAGAAATGTCCGACATCCTCGATTCCGAGAAGAAAATCTCCCACCGCGCACTCGCCGATAAGGTCTCCAACAAAATTGACGACGCCAAGTTCTTTGAGAAGCAGAAGCTGTCCAAGACATTCGACTCGATGCAACTGGATTGGTGCCTGCAGCCTACGATCCAGAGTGGCGGCTCATACGACCTCAAGTTCGCGGCCGAACCCGATGAGAACAACCTGCACGCGGGCGTCATCATCTCCGTCCTCGGTCTGCGCTACCAGACATACGGCGCTATGATCGGTCGCACATTTATGGTCGGCCCCAACAAGGAGCAAGAGACTGCCTACAAACTGCTTCTGGCGATTCACGACCTGGTCATCAAGTCAATCAAGGACGGCGTGGTGGCCAAGGATGTCTACAACAAGGCGCTCGCGCATCTCAAGTCAAAGAAGCCAGAGTGGGAGAAGCACTTCCCCAAGAACCTCGGTTACGGTATCGGTACCGAGAACAAGGACTCTTCGCTGCTCCTGAGCGGCAAGAACACCCGTGTCCTGAAAGACGGCATGACCTTGGTAGTTCAGACTGGTCTGGCGGACTTGGAGAACAGCAAGCCACAAGACAAGAAGAGCAAGAATTACTCGCTCGTCTTGGTAGACACCGTCCGCGTCAGCGCCGGCGACTGCGCAGTCTTTACCAAGGACACTACCTCAGATCTGGACGCTGTCTCGTTCTTCTTCGACGATGAAGAGGAGGAGGCCAAGCCCAAGGTCAAGAAGGAGCGCCCAGCTATCGCCCAGACGAACATCACCAAGACCCGCACACGTCACGAGCGAACAACAAACCAAGATGCCGAGAAGGAGGAGCAACGGCGACAGCATCAACGAGAGCTGCACGCCAAGAAGCAGGAGCAGGGTCTTGCCGAGTACAGCGAGGGCGCAAAGTCGCTGAACGGCACTGAAGAGAAGAAGTTTAAGAAATTCGAATCTTACAAGCGCGACAACCAGTTCCCCAGCTCGGTCGCCAACTTGGAGATCGTAGTTGACAAAAAGAACCTCACTGTTCTTCTGCCGATCATGGGCCGACCCGTTCCCTTCCACATTCACACCATCAAGAACGCATCGCACACCCCCGAGGCGGACTTCACATCTCTCCGTATCAACTTCCTCTCACCAGGTCAGGGTGTTGGCCGAAAGGACGACCAGCCATTCGAAGACCCCAACGCACACTTCATTCGTAGTTTGACCTTTAAGTCGCACGATGTTGACCGGATTGATCAAATCACCAAGGACATCACAGAGCTGAAGAAGGACGTCGTGCGAAGGGAGACTGAGAAGAAGCAGATGGAAGACGTCGTTGAGCAAGACAAGCTCATCCCGCTCAAGACCCGCAAGCCTCATATGCTCGACCTTATCTTCATCCGCCCCGCGCTCGATGGCAAGCGCATTCCCGGAAGTGTCGAGATTCACCAGAACGGTCTGCGATACGTCCACGGCAACGGCACAGCCAAGATCGACGTCCTCTTCAGCAATATGAAGCACCTCTTCTTTCAACCCTCACAACACGAGCTTATCGTTATCATCCACGTCCACCTCAAGAACCCAATAATGTTGGGCAAAAAGAAGACAAAGGATGTCCAGTTCGTCCGCGAAGCCACAGAGATGCAATTCGACGAGACAGGTAACCGCAAACGCCGCCACAAGTTTGGTGACGAAGAAGAGTTCGAGCAAGAACAAGAAGAGCGAAGACGTCGTGCGGCTCTCGACAAGGAATTCAAGAACTTCGCCGAGAAGATTGCTGATGCTGCGCGCAACGAGAACGTCAGCGTCGACATTCCCTACCGCGAGCTCGGCTTCAACGGTGTCCCATCCCGTTCTTCCGTCCTCGTACAACCCACAACCGACTGCTTGGTTCAACTCACCGAACCCCCCTTCACCTGCCTCACCCTCTCCGAGATCGAAATCGTACACTTGGAACGTGTACAGTTTGGTTTGAGGAACTTCGACATGGTGGTTGTATTTAAGGACTACAACCGTCCACCCGTCCACATCAACACCATCCCCGTCGAGTCCCTCGACCCCGTCAAAGACTGGCTCGACTCCGTCGACATCCCATTCACCGAGGGTCCCCTCAACCTCAACTGGGCCACCATCATGAAAACCGTCACGTCAGACCCCCACCAGTTCTTCGCCGACGGCGGCTGGAGTTTCCTCTCCAACGAAACCGACGACGAGGGCGATGGCGAAGAGGAAGAGGAGTCCGCCTTCGAAGTTAGTGAGTCGGAGTTGGCTATCTCAGATGAGTCGTCTGACGAATCGGACTTCGACGAGAACGCTTCCGAGGAGATGAGTGATGAGGGTAGTGAAGACGAATTCTCAGAGGGAGAGAGCTGGGATGAGCTGGATAAGAAGGCGGCGAAGAAGGATAAGGAGGCTGCGGCTGATGCGAGTGAGGATGAGGGGAAGAAGAAGAGGAAGCGCTAGTATGCTCTTTTTGCGCGGGGGGTGAAGGGGAAGCCGTCGGATCGGTTTGATGCGTGTTTTGACAAGTTTTATGAGAGGGTTTTGGCGATGGATAAGGATAAGAAGTGAAGGTGGAAGGGGAAGGGGAAGTTGGGGGGTTTGTGTAAGATTACCATGGTGATTCATTTGGTGGTCTGGCTACTGCGCGTAAGGAGCGCTGATGGGTGGTTTTTGGTATCATTGCTGAACCGAGCTTTCGAGTCTGGAAGCAGGAAGCAGGAAGCAGGAAGTAGGAAATTCATTTTCTTTGCGATTGAAGCTTTAGTTCTTGTAATGCAAAGTAACTGTCCGCTGCTTTCCTTACTTTAATTCGTAAATTGTGTTATAATGTCATACTACACATGCACCCCCGTTAAATCATTGAAGAAGATCAGACTAAGATACTACCACTACGACAAGCGCGCCTGCTCCAACCCCAACCAAGCTCAGCACCCAAGCACGCAAGCGTTTCTTTCTCCACAAATGTGCTACGTGGCGTACTAATAGCGGGATGGAAACGTGGATCTTCTACCTCAGTCCTCTGCCACCATGGAGTAATCTAGAAATGCTGCTCATTTCTCTGCCACCATGGAGTAATCTAGAGTCGTTGCGCATTTCTCTGACCCATTCGTCCTGCTCGCTGGGTCCGATCCTTCTATTCTTTACTTTACTGGAAACTGAAGGAGCTGCGGGATCGGGCTCCGGATCTTCATCTCGCTGTCGCCATTGTGAGAACCATTTACGTCTCCTCTCGGCTCTTGAAAAGGTGCGCGGGTGAAGTCTCCTCTCGGCATTGTCAGGGTTGTCAGTGGCCGCTAGTTCAAGCGCGCCAAGTTTCCCTTGCTGTTCACTACTAGACGTTTGAAATTCGGTCGTTGCTTGGGCCTCTTGAGCCATTTTTGAAGACTCCGCCGATTTCGCTTTCGCCTGATTTGCTTTCGCCATTCGTGGCAGTGATGGGTCGCGGACCTCTTTTCGCAAATGCCTGCTCCAGATGTGCTGTGCGAGTGTAATTGCATTTTCGTGATATTTGCGAGAAGGTGAAGTCGTTTCCGTCTCTCTGCACTCGTAGCACACTGCAGGGCCGTCGTACAGCGGACCGAGAACATGGTCCGAGAAGTAGTGGACCGCAAACTCCGAAAAGTCTACCCAGACAACGCTGCTTTTTCCGCACGCTCCATCCGTGCCTGGACATCCGAATCGTGGGATACGCGATCTTGCTTGCCAGTGACAGATAGTCTTACACATGATGTCGTCGAGTGGGAGTCCCTTGCGAGGCAATTCCCAATCGGGGACCGCGGTCTCTGCTACGATGTTATTAGCGGGATTGGTATTTGTGGGCATGAACACTGACTAGTTTCACCGACACTGCCTTGTCCTCCTGATGGGTTTCTCGATAGAATTCCCAGTTCATGAAGCACAAAATCCCAGCGAAGAATCGCCTGCATTCGTCTCCGTCTTCTCCACGCAAACGGCTTCATCTCACTGGGCGAGGATCGTGTTGACTCCGGCTCCCAGTTCTCGTGTGGACGGAAGAGGGGTCTGGCGATCACGTTCTTGGCATCCTTGAACTGGGCAGAGGTCTCATCGACCGGCTCAACCGACTTTGCAGACTGGCCTATCGTTCTAGGGCCGTCCATATCTGACCCTGTATCGTTTGCAACGATAAACAGGGGTGATGCACGACCCTTCTCAGTCTGCACACTCGGTTCTTGTGGTTCTCCGCCACCCTTTGACTGGTTTGCGATATCAGGTTGCTCTGTCTTTGACTTCAGGCTCGTCTTGTTAAGATCATAATCGGAAACAAAACGGTTAGCAGGGAATATTCGTCCATCACCAAATATCGAGACTGGCGCTGGACTATCTTCCCCAGGCTCTTGTGTTGACGATACTTCTCTTTTTTCGAGAGGACCTGATTGGATGGGTACATATTTATCTTCCTCAACGTGTACATAGGGATGACCATATTTCCAGGAACCTTGGTGACTGGTGCCAATTGGGTCTTCATCGGAAGTGTTCAGGGGCTCTGTCTTCGGTATCATTTCGACGCCTATCAAATCGGAAGGCTTGCTGCTAGTCACGACGGGGTGTTGATTATCGTCGGAAGTTGAAGTTTCTGTTGGATGCGGTACTTCTACGACTAAGGACGATGGAAGAGCTTTCTCCCTACTCATATGTTGTTGTGGCTGTTGAGATGGTGTACGGGCCATCGGCTGAACAGGTTTCGGGAGTTTGACAGGGGGCGACACCGGATGCTCGCTCATTGGAGTTGTAGCCTTCACCTTTCTCCGGACTTCCAGATATTGGGTAACTGTAGGCAGGAAGAGCAGCTTGACAGCATCTAGATGGAATGGCTGGCGGAACTCGAATCGGTATGCTGGCCCGTAAGAGTCGGTTCGTTTTGGCTGTGGCACTGCACGATTCGGTGGAAGTCGCTGTGCTCGACCGTTCTGTCCCAAAGACAAATGTGGCTGCGTCTTTGGCAAGTTGGCGCTATCGGAGGAATTTCTGCTGTTACTTGGGTGAGGTGATCCAGGATTGGGCCCAAGATATTGATCAGGTCGGTCAACCGCTCCACGGGATGATTGTGAAGATCGTGCGGGAGTTTGCGGAGGTAGCGATTCTCCTGAGCCATCATGTCCACTATCGGTATCTGATATTCTCCCAAGCTCCTCTTCATCTGGTCTCGACAGGATGGAAGCTGGATCTTCGCCCACCTCTTCTACATCTGAGCCGAAGCAGCAACTCGACGGGGACCGCGAAAGCAATGAGAAGATGAAGTCCGGAAATGAACTATTCTCGGCGTCATTATAGAGGCTCTGGAAACTCCAAATGACCCGAAGGAGAGTAGCGAGCGAGACCACGACGGCAATTATCTGACCGATCGAGTTGGCGTTGGAGCTTGGTTGGAGGTTGTACTCTCCAATGGTAACTTCGGCAACTACCATAGACGTGAGCGAGTATAGAGCGTATGCCGTATACGATACTGATATCGTCGCAGAGTATTGTCTATACAGTAGGCCAGCCTGTAGAGTAGCCTTTGTTACTTGTCGATTTGAATCCCGCAGTTCACGCGCTAGAGCTATAGCCTTATCCCAATACGTCTTTGGCTTTGTACCATCGCGGTTCAAGATTGGAATACGCCCTTCTTTCTCAGATCTGTGAAACCACTCGGCGTTGTACAAAGAATGGAAGGACGAGTGGATCCACATCATCCAACGAAGCGTGTAATAGATCCAGAAGAGAGAAAGCTCGTTACCGGAGAAGGCGTTGCAATCGCTTAACCGGGACCACCAGAAGATAGTAAGACACTTGCAGTCTTGCGATGCGAAGCGTCCCTTGGTGAACTTGACCACCAGCACTGGCAGGAATACTAGACCGAGGATCTGGGCTGGTATAAGTATGAGCACCTGCCATCGAGCTGCGAGGGTCTGTTTGGCAGTGACAGGGATGAGTAGAGCGATGTTTTGGGCGTCCAAGATGACTGCGCCGATCGCCGCATCGACGGATGTTAATGTCTTTTTGTACATCTGTACAATAATGGCGATGGCGAGAGAAACATGTGTGAGAATCAGGCCGCCTGCAACTTCTTTGATTGCTGTCTCTTTCTTATGCAGGTGGCCCGAGCTACTGATCAAGATCAGCATTGCAATTTGTCCCCAGATAGAGGCGCGTACGCCGACGCCACTGATGTCGGCATCCGGCTTCGTGCTACATGCATTCTCTGTGGCGCGATATGTGTCGCTTGCGCCAGAGAAAAGCACAGATACTATTACCACACTCAGTGTAGTAAAGAGGAGCGGGATGAGAACTCGACTTATGTCAGCCTTCATAAGAAGTCTTTTCGCTTTGCTGATCAATGATGCGTCAAGAGGTGGCCCAGGGTTTTGCTCAAGTGGCTCATTTTCGAGATTCGTTGGCGATAGGTTTATCTTCGTCCTGAAGAACACTATGTCGCTCGCAATATTGATAACTTGGAAGAGTAGCCTGATCATGCGGGTTAGCGATCAGAGCTTGTCAAATCCAGCACAAGCCGTACAACAAGAGTAGCGCCGTAAGTCGGGGCTGCCATCCAATCGCCATATTACATATCCGTTGTCCAAATCTAACCGCCAGTTGCTGCAGTCAGGATATAAGATTGCGTGAGTGATTCGGAAGCGAGGTTGAAGAAGGCCAGAATGGAGGCATTGTCAACCCTAACATGTCAACAATGTATCTGCTAGGAGAGCTAAAGTCTCAGCTGAAGACAGCTGAGTTCGCGTACAAGCCTTTCGAAAGGCGCGGGGGCTGCATATCGTGGATAGCACTTGTGGCGTTATTGAGCCAGACAGAGCCTATCGCGCGCCCATGACCAGCCTGCCATCTCTTGCCAGGCAGGAGGTTTCGCGTTACGAGCAGTACCGATCACCATCTTTTTGCGACATGATGTGAGAGCGCAGTCTGCAGTTCGTCGTCGTGAATCCAGTAGTATTATGTCGTGATGGTATAACAATGAAGGTTTCCGCCGGGACGCCTTGCATCGCTCGGCGATTTAGCTGCTGCGGAAGCGAAAATGGAAGGATCTAGATTGTCGGGGGTTCGGCAATTGCATTTGCCAAGCATCACGTGATCGCGTTCCAGCCCTGAGGAGGCGCCTGACAAGACCTCCAACACATCTTCTGTTCACGCTCTGCTAGATTGGCATCAACTCTGGGATCGATACGTTATTGACGGCTTTCAAGTCGCTCCATCGACTATGATCTATATTGAGATTCGCATCGAGTCGCGCAATCCATGTACTACCTATCATGTCCCCAGTATGTTTTCAACCGCCAAGTAGCAGATGCTAACTAGCTGTATCTACGTTACTCAGCAAGTCTAGCTAATTGGCTGATTTGGCGTTATAGTGCCCAAAATTTTAAGCAAGGCGGCGGTTGAAAATGTCACTGAGGGCATAACTGTATGGCGCTGCGGCACGGGGAGTCTGGAGGCCTGATTATCAGGCTGCCACCCGGGCGGCTGCACAGGGCCCGCATCAGCGCCACTATGCACCCTCGAATCCTACTCTACAACAAGTTGCCTAAAGCTTGCTCTTTCTATAGTCTATAGAGATTACGTGCAAGGCTACCTATTAGATAAAGCTATATCTTACTAAACTTTATCTTTAGCTACTTAGCTTTAAACTTATTTTTAAAAAGACTTAATTACTAGTATTTTATAAACTTTAAATATACTACTATAGCTAAGCTACTACTACTATACTTTTTTTTATAAGCTTTTACTTTTTATTATAAAAATTTTACTTTAAAAAAACTATAGTCTTTATATTATAAGCTTACTTAATACTTTTATTATATAGCTTTTACTAATAAAATAAAAAAAAATTTATACTTTATACTAAAATTATATAAATTTTACTAGTATTAATAATCTATAGTAGTATTTTTTAGCTTATAAGTTTAAGAGTATATAGTATTTTATTATTTACGCTTATACTTATAACTAAATCTAGAGAGCTACTATTTAAAAAAAATAATAGAGGTAAAGTAAAGTAGATAAGAGTTACTAGCTTAAACTTAAAAGATTAGTATTACTTAATTATAGGCATCTTATTCTACTAAGTATTAGTCTAGACTATTTAAGTAATAAGCTTTATATTCTAGAAAAGTCTATATTCTAGAAATTTAAGCTAAAGGCTCTGCAACTCTTTGCTACAAGTCGCAAATACAATTGCGCAATTCATAACCGAACGGACCTGTCGCAGTCGCATGTCAACGCCTCACGGATAGACACAGCTTATAAGCCTCCTAGTCAGTCTTCCGGGTACTGCGCAGCGAGCCTTGGGCGGCTGACTCGCAATCTCTGAGCCGTAATCATGTGGGGCTGTGGGCTGTGACAGGCGGCTACGTCGAACGCTACTGTTGCTACGCTCGAAATGTCCACCCACTACCCTTGCTTTGGGCCTTTAACTTTCTGATTGGAGACCGCAGATTGCAAGTAAGTCGGCTAGCTATTGCTAATTGCTTTTGCTGCGCAAAATGCCACCCAAATAGGACTTATCCCGAGGTTCGATACAGCCTTGTCAGACAAAAGATGCGGCTGTGGCGTTGCTATGTAACATTTTTACGCTGCACGTACATAAATGCCGCCTAGTCTGTTACGCGAGCTTACAAGCTAGTTTTCATAATGTACCCTCTGCAGTTGCAAACTGTTGACTGTCGCCCTGTTGTTTTTGCTCCTGTGCTATGGCGACCACACAGCAGAGCAAGTACCAGTACAGCACTTCTGAAATTGAACTCAGTTTCGCCAACAGTGAGGAACGAATACGTCGTGAGTCGCGGATCAGTACCGATGCACCTCAGCTGGAACTCCTTCACCACAACGAGCGAGATGCCGCCAACTCAGACGATCGTCTCCGCAGCTCACGCGAGAGATTACCCAGTACTGCTTTGAACCATGAGCTACCGAACGCCCCTCTGCTTGAGAAGCAACCTGACCTCTCTCTCGGCTGGCCGACATCACCTCGACCCGTCAAGAACTCCCTCGGTACCACTGCCTGGAAGGTTCTTACTGATCTGCTTCTACTGGCTCTCTCGGTCGCATTCCTGTCTTTTGCTTTATTCGTCATCTGGTACAACGGCAAACCTACTAGCCGCCACCAAGACGCAGCCGAGAGGATCAAACAAGCTTCAATATGGGTTCGTAGGAGTTCGGTAGTACTAGAATGCTCATTCGCTTATTCGTCCTAGGGCCCGACGATCTATCCTATACTCTTTGCCTCTGTAGTTGGGAGAGCGACGTTTGCAATCTTGCTTTGGAGGCTTGGGAAAGGCGAACGAATCGGCACTTTGGATACACTTGCTAGTAGCTCTTCGCTCACCAGCACCGTGATTTCTCAATTGCACCTTGGAGCAATCAGCTATGTAGGCCTCGGTCTTATAGCTATATGGATACTATCTCCTTTGGGCGGTCAAGCGTCTTTTCGACAGATAAGCTACGGACCAACGGACATTCCTGAACACACGGAGTTCTTCTATGTGGTGCCTAGCCAGTGGCTACTGCCTGATGACGAGTATTTTAAGCCGACCTTCTTGGATTTCCCTTACCTCACTGCCCTCACGAGTCAGTCTACTGCACAAGGCTCTCCACGCGATACCTGGGGTCACGTCAAAGTACCTCGGATCGAGCACTACGAAGGCAAATCACCTTCCGGAGACGGAGGCTGGTACAGCACAGTGAACGGCACTCTAGAATCTTACTCTTCGTTCATTGGTGTTCCAATAAGTGGCATGGACTGACCGGAGTTCATTGACTACTCCACCACGATTCAGGCGAAATACTTTCATCTGACATGTGGTTACGTTGGTGATCCAGACTTTGGTTCTTCAGACGTGGGTGATCCAGAAGTTGATGACCGACCATATCCATATGATTGGGAATCCCAGTTCACCTTCAACACCACAAGGTGGCTAGGGTACGTGTACTGGAACATAAATGTCACAAGACGCGCGGAGGTCCCACCTGGTGAAGTCGAGCCTTTCACGTTCGTCATTACTTCAGATACGATTCGCATCTGGAATTGTACGATTGCAACGACGTATGTGGAGGCCGAGATTACATGCTCTACATACGATGCCTGTGCTGCGGTTCGCATTCGACGCTCTCGCCTCGCACACCCACCGGCAACACACACCCAACTGGGTCCCCTGATAGGATTTCAGAACACACCCTGGGAATCCGCACTATTCAATACGTTCAATCAAACTTATGAAACCGGCGCGGACAAATCCCGTAGAGATGACGAGAGTGCGGGTTCTGACAGTACTGAGAAATCTCGCATGGAATCATTCTCCCAAAACTATCTCGTGAACCCCAGGGGCCTCGTCGGGGCGGGTTCGGATCATGATTGGGTTACTGAGGCGGATCAGGTCATACATCTCAATCAGGTACTCAATGCATATTGGGCGACGATGAACAGCAAAAACTCGCTCATGCGTAACTTCGACGCATCCACCAATCGATCGGACGCAAATGTCTCTTGGTACTATCAAGATCAAGGCAACTTCCAGAACTTGGATATGGAGACCTGGAAGGATAGGGTCGATCTAGCGAGAGCATGGCCAAGTACAGGAACAAGAAGAAGTAACGTGGAAATTTTCCACGCCCACTTCGGCTGGGTCATTGCGCTTATCGTCTCGTCGACCGTGCTCATCGTAGCGAGTCTGGTGCCGTTCTACCTCCGCACCTTTCTCCCGCACGGCCCAGACGTGCTCATGAACTTCTCTAGTCTGGCTGCGAGAGATAATCCTTATGTAACTTTACCGGGGACGGGGACATATCTCGACGCAGCTGATCGATCGCGGTTACTAAAGGATGTGCGTATACAATTTGGGGATGTCGAAGAGGGCGGTGAGATCGGGAGGTTGGCTATTGGACGGTTGGATGGGGACGTTGCGCCGCTGAGGAAGGGGAGGAAGTACGCGTAAAAGTTCCAGGAAGTACGTGGGAGATGAGGGTAATCGGATGTTATGATACTACGTGTTGGGCACATGCTCTCAGATCATGATGGTGACGATGTGTCTCATTGCCGGTGCATCGCTTGAATTCAACAGGGTAACTCGTTGATAGCGCAGTGGTGGAAATCTATGGGGATGTAGCGCGAGGACTACGAACAAAGTTGCATGGCGCTTTAGTATCGGTGTGAGCACATGTCACCCCCACAAATTAGCATCATGTATGAGACAGCAAGGATCCGCGCTTATGAAAAAGCGTTAGACAGCGGTTTCCGCAAGCTAGGGTAGCCCACTTTGTCAAGACAGAATTGTCCCATGATGGTAGGATTAAAGTTCTCTATGCAGTACATCGTAGCGGCCGTCATCAAATTGACAAATTCGGGAAGAGAGTAATGACATGGATGGACATTACACGCAGATGTATTACTGAAGACAAATGCACTATCATAAGCGAACGGTGAACGGGAAAGCCTGAACAATCCTCTGGCAGGCTAATCCAACGCCTGGTAGTCTCTCCATCGATGCTTCATAAAGTTATACCCATCATCCCAGCTACAAGATTGGTTTTGCTATTTGATAATGTTACACATGGCTAATCATGCGGGTCTTCTACAAGGGAAGTGTTTAAGAAAGCTCCGTGCCGCATACAGGGCTTTCCTTCCGTGCGTCAGCTTATCCGGGCGGAGATTTTAGTTCTTGCCCAGACCGTCTCGGACGCCAGGATTCGACTGTTCTCGAGAGGCCCGTATGCCAGTGAATGTACATATCTGCTTGCCCGTCTCGTGGGATATATCCATGACAAGCTCGCAGCTGCTACACGCAGCAGCACCCTCCTGTTTCTCGCATGCGTGTTTAAATATTCTGCACCTGTCACAAGCACGCCCGACTTTCACAGGTTTTCGACGGGCCGTTTTCGTCGTACGATCACTAGCAGTAGGCTTCAGTTTGGTCTTCAACCCGTCAAAGGCAAGCCGTACTGCTGCTTGAAGTACTCCCCGGCGTCCTTGAAGGGGCGGATTCAGTTCAGCCAGCGCCCAGCCAATAGCGTTCCACGCTTTCTCATTTTCCTGATCATCACCCTTGTACTGATCTCTTGGAACCAGAGCCCGAGGATAGATGCAGTTGTCTATCTTGAATCCATGAGGTAAACTCTCGATGTCAACTTTCTCGATGTCGTGTCGAATGGTATAATCTGTTTTGACCCCATCGTGAGAGTACTCGAATGCAATCCGATCAACACCATCTACGCCTTGTCGCACAATTCCAAGCTGGGCTTCCAAGTGTTCGAATGGTAATGCTTTACGATCCTTCCCAGGAGGTCGGGAAGAAACACCTGGGTTCATCGGTATAGAGAAGCCATTCACAACAATCGATGAGACGTCATTCAGGCTGCTTCGACGGCTACCGTCGTGACTTGAGCCATCTACTGATTCAGCGTCCGAGTCGACACCAGAAGGTAGTATAGCAAGGGCTATCTCTTCCATATGACGCGCGACATGGAGCGATAAAACATCGCGGTCTCTGGAAGTAAACTCAACACACAAGGGGCATGTAACGTCTGAGACTCGAACGTCCATGCCATGCTGATCTTGTAGATGGCTCATTAGCCCATCGCCGTTTTCGAAAAAGACGCGAGTGGTGTGGCATTCGGGGAAGAAGCAAGCGTAGGCTAGAATGTCTTCGAAGACATGCTTCCTGAGGTAATGTGATTAGCTTTGGTGTGATTCAGGAAGCATAGAGATATATCAACTCACTTCCATGGTCTGGTTCGTTGGAACTGTACCTGCTTCTCGCAGATCTCGCATGTGAAAGGTTCGCCAGACCGCGCTTGGGCGGGCAATGGTGGTACACGCTTGTGACTTGCCTCAGCTCTGCTCGACATCACCGAAGGTTCGTAGACAGCTTCTGCTTTTACTCCCGCATCTGATTGTGCGGGTACCGATGTACCCAGACCAGAGTCGTGGAAGATGGTTTTCGCTTTTTCGAGAGTGGTCTCTTGAAGCTCCTGCTTCATTGCTTCTCGTTGCAGACGAAGGATGTGATTATATCGATCCCAGTTCAACTTCCCAAGTTGGGCCACCATTTCTGGTGGAGCGAGAGGGAACTTTTCCGCAACGCTGCTAGCGTAGGCCTGTTCCGGTAGGGTTTCTCCGATGTCTTTGATAGTACGAGGCTGCTCTTCGTCGAAGTTTTCTTCAGCCGGTGATTCCAGGCTGGGTGCCAACATGACCAGTGTATCAATCTTCGTACTGAGGGTCTGACACATCGTCTCCGCGTCTTGCTCGGGCTGATAAGCGAAATCATGTTGTCGACCAATCATGTCTGTGACTTGTTCCAGAACAGTCGCAAAATCGGTCGACTGTAAAATCTCTTTTCGATGATGCTCACTGACGACAAGGTGTATCAAAGCTGACCCGTGTTAGTGTTAAGGCGAACCAGTGGTATGAGTGAAGTTCACTTACAATTGCTCACAAATCGAGAGATGGATACGAGCACGGCCAGGCAAGTGTCGCGCAACTGGGGGGAGCCTTGGAGCACATTGTCGAGCTCGCCTCGCGGCAGTCCAAGGTCGGTACCCCAGAATAACAAAGTTGCACAGGTAGACTCTAGAGAAATGTAATGCCCAGCATCACTAGATTGGCTCCTTAACTCCTTCATGATGAGTCCCAGCGTCTCTGTGAGAGATCTGAATAGTGACCCAAGAATTCCTAGCTCCTGGAGTTCGACATGTTGCACAGTGTGCAGGGCGAGCGGCTGTGAATCCTCGTCCTCCTCTTTCTTCACAGAAGAGTGAGCTGATATAGCTTTGCTACTCCCAGTCGTTTCCTTCACGTCTTCGAATTGGGGTTGAGAGTCGATATAAGGCGTGAGCTTCTGATCCAAAGTCTGATATACGAGTGACCCGATGTCATCCACGAACAAGGGATATAGCAAGTCGACGACCTTTTCCGCGTTCGCCAATTCCAAGGCACGCTCGAACGGAATCCAGACGCCTTTGAAATGTGTTGGCCCGAGTTTAACCACGTGTTTAGTCTTCTCACTCTTCAGCAAAGCGCCTTTGCGTGCTGCTGTCATACCAGCCAATGTGAGTAGCTTTGTGCCGTTGATCATACGATTGTCGTCGCGACGAGCTACGGAGACACCCCTAGTCTCGACATGATAACAATGGCAGCCTTCATCTTTCCAAAAGGTGGAAGTAACTCTAGGCAAAGCCCCCGGAGTAGCGATTTTGCCTGCGCGACCGAAAGGGACCGGTAGGTCGTTCTCTGAACCAGAATTGGAGAAGGTATGGGCGCCCGGAGCCCTTGCCGGCGATTGTGTTGGAGGCGAATGGGTTGGCTCACTCGCTGGAGACGACGAGGTGTCTTGCGTGCGTTCCATTTCAGCCTGCCGGGGCTCCCTCACCAAGCCGCCTTCTTCGGCAGCCGATGCATTACGACGGTTTTTTGGTGGAAGCATGCGCGCCGACTACCAGCGGGCACGGTCAGTAGATGCTCAATGGCGGGAAGACAATGGATTAGGACATGCGCACCAGCTGAGAGAGATCATGTTGCTTTTGCCAGGATGCCGACACGGCTGAGCAGCCACACGTGAACGGGCTGCGCATTGGAGGGGTATGCGCCTATCGCATTGGGGGCCAAACTGCGCCTCGCTCAATCAACCTTGGAAGAGTGCGCATCCCGAGACTCATCAACTCCCATGTCTTTTGAGACTCATCTTTCACACCATGTCCGGCATCGAAATCGCAGGTCTAGTTTTCGGTGTTGTGCCCATTGTTGTCGAGATCCTGAAGTCATACGGCACGGCCAAGCGCACATTGGCGACCTTCTCACGACACGCGGAAGTTGCATACGACATCCAGCTGAGATTTGAAGTAGCAGCAGCGAACTTTAGCAACGAATGCCGCCATCTGCTGCAGGCTGCCATCGCCCATCCGAGCGATGTCTCTGAGATGATGGAGGATCCGACCCACAGGAGCTGGCAGGAACAAAGAAAGGAGATCGAACAGCGGCTGCGAGATTTGATGCAGCACGATTACGAGCTATGCGAGAGCATCGCGACGCGACAACGCGATATCCTCCGCGAGACACGAAACAGCCTGTCCAAGCTCGAGAATGGCCTGGGTAACGCAAAACAGTCCCAACACGAGTTCGCACGGAAGCTTTGGAACGCGTTCAATACAGCTCGCAAGGAGAACGAGTACCTCCGACAGCTCGATTCGTTGGATAGATGGAATAAGTCGCTGGGCAAGTTGTGTAAGCAGAGGCGCAAGATGCAGAAGCGTCGCAATGTTCCTTCGGCTTGCATCATCCGCAAAGCCGTGCCAAGGAGCTACCAGCAGATCCGCGTCGCCTCACAACAGTTAGGAGAGTCCATTCACGACTCGTGGTCTTGCACGAACACCTCTCACAGTGGACACCAGGCGAAGTTATCGCTCGACGCCAAAGGCGAGTACAATAACGTGCAACTCGACGTTGTCATCGCTTGCCAGCCAAAGCCAAATACGGCAATCCAAAAGTATGTCAGAGCGGATATTCTTCGCAGCCCGAAAGGAGGTAGAAGCGCTGTTGACTAACGACGAAGTGTAGTCCATCCAGCAACGTCCCAATATGGCTGCAAATTCGGTCCATTACATCCCTCGCGATGTGTGCGGCTCCAACGTTACCTCCACAGGCACTAGCGAACGCGTCTCGTTGTGGGATCAACGACGCGTCGGAAGCTACTACCCCAGCGCCGCCCATCAAAGCCAAGTCGAAGAAAAGAGTCCGAATCAATGATCCCAAAGACAACATTAAATGTGTTCGAACACCACCAACAAGCCATACGGTAGCAACACAAGCACAATCTTTCGTCATGCTAGATCTAAAGACAACAAAAAGCGTGTGCTGTCATGTAACGAGAGTGCGCTCGTCTCCATCGGCATGTCAAGACAGCTGCGTGGGCTTTCTTGAAGTCGCGAAGAGTGAGCCAACAACCCGTTTCATGTTCTACGATGCCAGTAAACTCGCAACCAACGATGTGCCTTCTCGCAGCCGGCGACAAGGAGCGCTACCGATCAAGAACCTCGTGCAACGCTTCCAGATCCTGCAAAAGATCACACTCGCGCAAAAGTTGGCTGAGGCTGTTCTTCAATATCATTCAACTTCTTGGTTGCCGCAAGCATGGACTCTTCAAGATGTAGCATACTTCACGGATCAATCTCAACCCGACGCGAACAATGTGTCCAATGCACTGGACAGCTTGCATCTGAGCAACCGCTTCCCAGATCCGACCTCGCCGGACAGTGCATCACAACAAACCTCTCTTGAACTGAAACATAATTTCGGCATCCGCAACCTGACACTAGCTAAACTCGGCGTCGCGCTACTAGAGATATGTGCTCAGACGGATAGCACGACGCCGCAACTGGAGGGGTCGCCTCAAACCCGTGAGATCATCGCCGCGAGAAAATTGCTGGATGAACAACATCATTCGATCACTACTTTAGGCTCGCGGTACCTGCAAGTCGTGCGCAAATGTCTATACTGCGACTTCTCCTGTGACGATGACCTCCATGGCGAAGCGCTCCAAAGTGCGGTGTACACCGAGGTCGTGTGTACGTTACAGGACATGAGAACTCAATGGAAGAAAGTGTTTGGTCTTTGAAGGTTCTGCGATGAATGTTGGATGGTATGGGTTCCGTGAAGAGCAATTCTGGGAAGCTGAAGAGCGCGAATTGAAAGCCTTCATAGTTGTTTTCTCGACTTGCAAGTGTCAGCGTTAAGCCGAATGTGAGATACTAGGTAGTCCTAGAAGCTCTGGAGGTCACATGCACGAGACGGAACATCAGCCGGTAAAGTACAATCTATCTCACAAAGTTTGGTGAACAGCGAACTTGTCCCACGTTCACACATACCTGATCAAGGTTGATAGACGTCGCTGCTATAATGAGCAGCGGAAGCCAGGGTCCGCCCAGCAGAGGGAAAGGCTCCCAGCGCCGTGCCCAGACGCTAGGTTTCGAAAAGTGTACCGAGTCCGGGCGTGGAAGCGGCCCAAGCTCCCCGTAGAGCAAGCTAACAGAGGGGCAGAGACGTCACGGCGACCTACAACGTTGAAAAAGCAACACACCAAACATGGCAATCTGTGATCGCGCAACGCTGCCCTTCCGTAGCCGACGCCGATCTCCAATCTTCATTCATTTCGCCATCGTTGATTGGCTTTGATTGCCGCGTTGGCAACGACGTCGCCGCTCTGGCTGGTACGGGCTCGGCGCCGGCCCATGTCAACGTGGTGATGAACCCGTCTTCAACGCTATGCACGTCGATTCTCCACGTCGCACTCTTGCTCCACCTGGGGATGGGTTCAGCCCTGACCTAGTGAAGCTTACATTCTTAGAATTCATGGCAAAACTCGCAGAAACCACCATGGACACACACCACGCGCCTCGTAGACATATATGGTCTTTGGTGTCGGCACCTAGCCCGAAATTCTGGCCAAATCTGCATCTCTTGCAATCCTTGAGATCTAACACACTCCTTTGATACATTCTACAGTCTCTCCACCACTGCCTTGGTAGTCTGTCAACTCAATTTCCCGCTCACTATCGTTAACATTTATACCCACACGGTCGCCAGTACCATCACATTCTTTCCCTACGCGAACTTTGCCGAATACAATACGCCAACACTTCTACATCCATCAAGTAAACCTCCTTTGTCTTTGTCCGTCAACATGGCTTTCCTTGACCAGACGAGTCACTCCATGGCCATTCAGTTCGGATCACCGGCCTCTGTGGTACCGTCTCCTGGCACTACAGCCGAGTACAGCCCGACCATTGGCATGTACTCTAGCACGGGTGAGAGTTTGAACCAGGCCAGGCCGGCCACACCATCGCACTTGGGCTCACCGCACGATTTTCCTCAACGCGGCTACCTGGAGCACGTGGTAGCATACGACAATACGCCCTACTGGTATGGATCGATCCAGCATACGAACTCCATCATGGCCCCTCTTTGTTCCCCTCCCCTCGCCCAGCAGAACCGGGCCATACTCGCTCTCTTGGAAAGAGGTACAGCCCCATTGCTCATCTCCCAATGTGTCGAGACCTTCAAGCACATGGTGTTCTCCAACAACCTCAATGGGCTCGCATACGCGGCGTGGTCTGGTAACCTTCAATACCTCGCTATCGTTGCGACGATTCCTACGGAGGAGCTCCCTGGAAGGGTCCTACAAGTCGGTTAGTAGATGCGGCTTATACTACGATACAACACTAATCATTTTCAGTGCACCTTTCAGCCCACCTGTTCGTCGAGCCGCCTCCGAACGGCGTATACGAACCCGTCGATGACTCGCGCCCGAGCACTAAGCGCGGACACTCCGATGAGATCAGCCCTCAGGCTCAAGCCTCCAAGAAACCTCGTGCTTCACGCAAAGGCAAAGAGCCAGCACAACCAGCCATTGTACGAAGGGGCTGCCCAGGCAACGGATGGAAGTGCAAGCCTCATGAGGGAAGCACCAGGAAATACTGGGAGTCGAAGACCGGGTTCGAAAATCACTTCACGGCCAGCCACATGGAGGAATGTGCCGATGGCTTTCGCTGGAAATGCCCAATCCACGTCCGCGGCTGTGCTCGTTCGTTCGCGGGCAATGGGTCTGATCTCCTCGATCACCTTTGGAATCACCACTGGCAGCCAGTAGAGCCTTCCCAGTAGGAGGGGGCAAACTTCATTACGTTCTTATACATACCTAGGGTACCTTGGGTAAAACCCACTTTTCCAACCCAGCAAGGCTGTGACGCTCGCCACGATGCATTACATAGGCATGAATAATGACACTCTTCCTTCGTCGAGCTTTCTCTGCTACCCAAGAAGATCATCGTAGCTCGTGAAAACGGCGGTCCGGCGGCCCCTGCAGCAGCAGCTGTACCGTGTTGACGTACTCAACTCTTAGTCTTCGTGACTTGGTAACGTGTGTGCTCATTGCTGTATCCAGATGCGGCCATCACAGGTAATCGACAGCAGAGAGGCATTGGCGCGTCGCGATTTGTTTGGGTTACTGGCGAGCAGACATGATGACATAGCATCGAGGACCACTCTTGCGTCGCATGCACCAACGAAGTCGCGATGCCACAACATAACCTTGGAAATGCTTAAGCTGAAGCATTAAGCACTCTGACGGGTGCGCGTCTCTGCGCAGTACTCGTCGCGTCGTGGCATCGCATGCGGCGTGGAGGTCGATCGCTCATGCTAATAGGGGCGTCGACGTGCTAGTCACTAACAACGTGGTTTCTATCTCGGTCGTCCCCGTGAAGGCGCGACAAAAGTCGCGACATATGCACAGCTGAAGTGCATCGTTCAGTTCCCGAGCGTTTCCGAGCGGAACGATGACGTCTGCATCTAGGCCACTCTGGGTAACGCGCATTCCAAGGTTTGACCCCCTCCGCCTACACGTGACGTTGCTATACGCAGGGAAACTACAGATGAAAGTAAAATTAGCTAGGTATGCGCCAGGCATTTTCTCTAATAGCAATGTGCGAGCTGCGAATCGCTCACGATACGCTCGATGAAGTAGTCTTTCTCTTTGAGAATCTCCCATATATTCTCATGTTACTCGTGCGGCCTCTTGTACTAGTCCATGACCATTTCCGTTTCCATCTGATCATCCCCCTCCTCTACGCCCGCATCTGCTCCCTCCCCTTCAGGCTGCTCAACCCCCTCTTCCGCAGCCCCATCTTCGTCTCCATTCGCCTTCTCATCCGCTCTCTCCTGCATAATCCGCTCTTGTTCCTCCCCCGATACCCTTACACTGATATCAGGAACAAGCACTTCTCCTTCCTTCCTGCGCCTGAAGATACACACCTTCTTTCCCTCCTCGTCTTCTAGCTCCGGCATCTCTGCGACCTTTTCCTTCTTCCTTCGTTGCTTCTTGAGCTTTCCCGCTTTGCCTTCTGGTTCTTCGACTTTCTCATCCCGGAAACGTGCGTCGAGCTCATCCATGAACTTCGGGAATGCCACTACATTGTGTTTTGCTTGTTCTTCGTTGTACGTGCCATATCCCTCCTTATAGTCGTGCGTCCAGGTGTCGTGGTGAAACCCAGTATTCCAGCGGTCGGGCGGGAAGTAGACGTGGAATTCTTTGTACCACAGAACCTCCGCCGTCTTGCCCTTCGTCTTCTTCTCTTCCGTGGTAGCGGTGTTGCTATCTATGGTCTTCGGTCGTTTTTTCTGGATCGTCGCACCGCAGTCGTTGAAACGCAGCGTGTAGCCGTGCTTGAAACGGTAGTACTCGACATGGGGAGGTGCGTCGCCGTCCTGTTCTTTCAGGTAGAGGGCAAGGTCGTCGGATTTCTTCTTTTCGCGGATGACTTGTAGGGTGCTTTGCGGGCCGAATGTCAGCTTTGCGTTAGATGAATTGTGCTCGTAGACGTATAGGAATGGTGCGTCGCTGGTGTCTCCAGGGTCAGCACCGGATGGATCAGCAGGACCAGATAAGTCGACCAATGCGCGTCGCTTATCCTGGTCATCACCTCCCTGATTCTCTGAAGCAGACTGCACCATCAAACAGAGCTTCTTCCTGAGTACATCCTCCTCTCCTGATTCAGGGACAGAAGGTGGGATCGGCTTCGCAAGCTCCTCCTCGGACTCGTCCACTGCACGTAGCTCCCTCATATAACTTGGAATGTGTTGGTCAACACTGTCGGTGGGATGTATGTAAATTGTGGTCTGTTGGCCCCCAGGTGGGCTATGATACACCGCAACCGTCTGCTCTAGCTGTGCGGGTATAGCAAGAACGTTACGGGGGCCTTCGGTGGTCAAAAGAGCCAGGTCTTTCGGCATGCGAGCAGTGTCTGGCGTCTGGTCCCATGTAGAGTCCCATACCGGGTATATGTGGTTGTCATTCTTACCGTATCTGACTACCGACGTTTGACCGTTGTCGTTCTTGGGATCAATAGCAATGTACAGTCCTGGGACCTTGTGTACAAAGTACTTCTCGATGTCGGCCTCTTCACCCTGGTTACTTGCGTTGTCAGTGCCCGCCATGTCCGGAGGTTGAAAGTGGAAAGTGGTCGTATTGTGAACGCCAATAAGCCTGTGCGGAGAAGGTCTCTATATCTCGTCAGTACAGTAAGAAGCTTGCTCGAATCCCTCGTGATGTTTGAGCATGATCACACCTCATGATCCTAGATTGTTAGTAGCAATTGACGACTCTTTGACGAAACGCGAAAAACTTCTTCTCGCTGCGAATGTCGATTATTGTCGTATTAAGTATGATCGTTGAGTAGTTACACACTGGTCCGTCCCTTCATTTCAATAGCTTGGAGCTATCATTCCTGTCTTGGCATTTCGCGAACAGCGATGGGCCTCGAAAGCACCATAAGCACGGATTGAGGTCGAAGATGTGCCAAAGTCGCCCAATCATTCGATCTGAGGTGCGACGAGATCGCACTGTGTATGTCGGTTCTCGTAAGACGTGGCTGACGTTGCGTACAAAGACCGACCTTCGAAATCCTCATACGCCCACTCGCTCGTGGCGCCGCAGGGCCTCTGCACAGAATTCCTTCCATTACTCTGCGTCGCATTGCGGCATGTCTCTGCCAACACACCCATGACCCCTCCAACCCATGGCGTATATGCCGACAACCTGCACAATATATACAATAGCGTGCCATCTCAAAAACGCCTTTGGGGTATCAAACGCCGTACAATGCCGTAAAATCGTGCAGGAAAGATATATCATATCGTCGTTTCGTCCATCCCATCTCAGCAACCGCGCTCAAGGATTCGAATGAACGAAACGTGCGCCCTGACAAGGCGAGCGAGCCTGCTTGAAAGCTTTTATCCTGCCTAGCATCCACCCAGACACCCACGAGCGCTCACCCTCGCGGCTCTGGTGGTGGCCTAATCGAATGGAGTATCCGAGGCGGCATTCGATGCCGTCGTGTTCGAACTGGAGACAGCGGCCGTCTTTCGCGCAAGCCCGTTGGCATTTGTCGAAGGACTTGGAGGCTGTCTTGCCTTTCCGGTATGTGACGTCTTCGGACATGTTGGACCAGTCTTCGGCCCTCTCCTGCAGGTGTGGCTCGATCATTGTGAAGAGCTCTTCGAACATGAGCGGTCGTTCGGGATGCGATCGCGCTTGTTCCCATTGGGAGAGTCGTGTGAAGTCGTCTTCGCCGAGGTGGTGCATCGTCATGATGGCTTCGCACCACTGCTCGTTGTCGAAGCGCATGCTGAAGGGCTTCTCGCCGTTGAACATGGGCCAGTATCCGCGGAGGGGGACTCCGCTCTTCTTCAGCACCTGCGCTAGCATCTCGTCTCCGCAGCATTGCTTCTTGACGTCGACGCCGAAGAAATGTGTTCCAGGGAAGTGCTTGTTCTCGCCGAACATCCTGCCCAGTGCCATGATCTTGTCCAGCGCCGCGCGCGATAGCACAAAGCCCGTCCCGCCGTGTGCGAAGGTGGTCTTCTTCTTCGGCCAGACGGGAGAGCCAAAGTAGTAGGCTGTCTTCGGGTTGAAGTTGGAGAGAAAGCGGTAGAGATTGTCGTAGTTGACGTATGTATCCAGTTCCAGGAAGACATACCACTCCGACTCGGGCCGCATGTATGACGTCCACTCCATCATGGGCAGGAACTTGTACTTGTCCAGCCGCCACCCCTCCTCCGTCTTGTCCTGGGTGCTATTTGTCGCCTGTATGCGGTCGTATACGTCAAAGTCGGGGTTGTTGAACTTGTACTCCGGGCGCAGGTGGGCGAGGGCGTCGGCAATCTCGAAGCCGTTGAGCGAGTCCTTGCGGTCCGAGAAGATGAGCAGGTCCTGCTTGCACCTTCCCAATCGGTTGAGATATAGCGGCAGCTGGGTCGCAACTTCCCCGGCGCCAATCTTGAGCACAATGGTGACGCGCTCCATGACGCCGGCGGTGAAGGGCGAGCACTCCTCACCAAAGTGCACCGGAGAGACGGGCGCGGGCCCAGCGGGAGGGGGCCGCTCCTGCAGTATGTCGTAGCCGCGCTCGCCCCGCCATAGCCGGAAGACGAGCGACGTGAAGAGGAAGGTCACGAGGGTTATGGCGACGCACAAGAGGCGCAACGGCGTCAATCGCACCCTCATGGTGGTGGTGGTGCGAGACTGAGTCCGTCATGTTTGCATGAGCGGGCCTGGCGCGCGGAAATTGGCGCTAGTCCCAGCTCCAATCCGGCTAGCCGGCCGTTCTATGCGCGCCTCCGCGGGCGGCCTCGAACGTCTCTCCATCCGACATCACAACATCACCATCACGAGTATCATGGTAACACCGACTCTGGCTACAGCCCACGAAGATACATTCTACCGTAGTCATCAGTACCTCACCACGCCTACTAAATAGCCATCTTGACCTGCCAATCTTCACCCCCGCCAGACACCCGGAACTCAAGCGAGCTAATCCTCTCTCCACCAATTCCACCCCTGAGACGCAGACGCGTCAAGATCCCTCCAAAGTAGTCCACCCGGTCCCGATTGCAGCACCTTATGCGGCGCGCAGCCTCTGGCTTCATGACTAATGTCAACACCCAATCCATCGCGTGCCTACGCACACCAGACGGAGTATGACACGACACTGGCTGTGCGTGTAGGGTAAGAGCATCCATATCTTTAAGCCACAAATAGTGTTCCAAGAGCGATGGAACATAATCAATCGCCTCAAAAAGACTGATCGGTCTGTTCTCAATAAAGACCTCGGCCTTAGGGTGACTACGCAGGTACTCGCCTAGCCATTTGAGGTCGATACTGGTGTTTGGTCCCCAGCCGTGATCGCGACTGAGTCCGACGAGTAGCTTACAGGCGGGAAGTGGAGCAAAGGCCGACGTATCACTATAGAATGTCCGGAGGAAGCGTTCTACTAGCACAAAGTGGATACGAGTCCTGACTGAGCCAAAGTACAAAGGCATGTACTCCGACCGAGTGGTTCGGCATACATTGCCCAAACCGACCGCTGTCGACAGTCCGACGCCTGAGAGGCAGTAACCATATATACGGTTACGTAGTTCTGGAACAATGATTAGCAAAGTGCCGGCAAGCTCATCGTCATCACCTACCACCGGGAAGATCTAGGAAGCCTTTGGGTTTCGAGATGCCTGAGGTCTTCGTGTGTGAGGAGTGCGCGTTCATTGATTCAAGAGACATCTCCATGCCGTCAGGTACGATGCTATTCTTATTCTAGGATTTGCAAGCGTGCGTGGTCGATTTGGAATGAAGAGTTAAGAGATATGCGGTTGAAGGTACGAAAGCACGTTTCCAGGTTGTCGCCCTTGGAGGGTGTCATTATATCAGCGATTTGCACAATATGCAGCTTTCAACAATGCCTTTCACCCGGCCTTTCGTCCCTTGAGTGTCGAGTGAATGGGAAGTGTCGGCTTCACACTTCCAGTACCGTTTCACAGCCTGGATTGCACTGTACAAGAACTTCTTCGAGAGTCTGTGTACTTGCAACCCTCTTATACTTTCACTGATCCAATGGCATTACAGGCCTAATTGGCCGCGGATACGGCGAGTCTTGCCTACCTTGTCGTCACTCCAAAGTTGGCAAGGGGCGCAGTCCTCTGCGCATCGCCACGCCGCCTACAAATCGCGGCGCCAATTCTACCTTTACCTACACATACAACTTCTCAACTCGTCGCGTACAACCGCTGGACCTACCGAACGCCTCGAAAACAATGGCACCCTCCTTCACAGAGTGAGTATATCACTTCAGCATTCTTGACATCTTGCTAACACATTCCAGGATGTTATCTTCTACGCAGTTCACGTTCCTACTAGGAGACACCCGCGAGCCTGTCACCGTCCATGCCGGCGTCATGTCACAGGTATCTGAGCCCTTGGACCGCCTTATCAACGGATCCATGAAGGAAGCGCAGGAGAAGTGCGCCGCTCTGCCCCATGTCGATCGCGAGGTCTTTCTGGGTCTCGTCGAATACGCATACCGCGGTGACTACAACGTCCTTCCCTGCGAAATTGACCCCCATGTCGAAGTCGACTCCCATATCGAAGTCGACATGGAGGCTAGATCGTGCGAGATCTTAGACAAGTATTTTCCTACAATAAGCGAAGAAGACTATGCCAAAGCAACCACTCCTGAAAAGATGTGGCATAAGTCCTGGCATTACCCAACGCCCTACGAGCGCTTTGTCGTCAAGGAGCAATGTCCATGCTATTACGGAGAAGATTGGGACGACGTCGCCTCGCACATGAAAGAGCAACATGTGGGCCGTATAAACTACAAGCACAAGGACTTCTTCCTCTTCCACGCCAAGATGTACTGCCTCGCTGACTACTACCTCATCCCCGCATTGAAGGAACTCGCCATATCCAAGCTCCACGTCGCACTACAACTATGCATGGAAGAAAAGTTCGTAACAACCCCGCAGCGGGTCGAAGATATCGTCGCCCTGGCTTCTTTTGTCTACAACAGCGACAACACTCAAGACCACGATACCCCTTCGCAGCGTGATTCCCTACGAGAGGAGGTACTGAATTACATCATGGCTCAGATCCAACACCTGGAGCTGCAACCAGCGTTCCAGAGGGCGCTAGGTGGCGCGGGCCAATTGGCGCTTGATGTGATTTCTTCTCTGAGGAAGGGGCTGAGCGAAGGGGCGCAGAGGATTAAGGCTGCTATTGCGTATCGAGATAGGATGGAGGAACAACGTCTAGGACGAGGAGGCTACTACGCCTTAGCAGCGAATGGTCGGTAGATAGTAAGGTTATGGAGTAGGTCAAATGACTGTTTCTTCTTCATTCGTCTTGTAGCTGCTTGGCTATCTCCAAGGTTTGCACAGTGACATATGTTAGTCATACGATATCCTTCCTGCGGCTTCGTCTGTCGTCTTATCATGCAGGAGTCGGCTCATATCGCACCATCAGCGTCCGCTCCCTTCGTCGCAACCTCCCCCTTCTCCCCCTTCTCCCCCTCCTTCCCCCTCGGCCGCCTGATCATATTATACTCCCCGCACTCCACAAACCCGAGATGCATATAAACCGCCCTCGCACTCGGCCTACTCTCCAGATACATCAATTCTCCCCTCTCATCCGCCTGCATCAACGCCCACTCCATCAACCTCTTCCCCACACCCCGTCCTTGCCATTCCGGCCACGTAAGCAGCGGCGCAAGATACCAATGCCTCTCCCCGCCCGTTGCTTCCCGTCTCATTTCGTCGTCTTTGCCGAAGCGCTCGCTCCAATTCTCGTTGCTGACGTGACTCCACATTTCGTCCATTTCTTCGTCAGTCCAGCATTGCTTCTCTTTCCAACCGTAATGCGTGGCGGCGCTGCGGCGGAAGAGATTGTGCACGGAGGGGTTGGAGGGAAGGGTCCAGCCTGCTATTCCTACGGTTTCGCCGGTGGGGGTGTAGACGGCTTTCATGAAGCAATGGTGGGGATCGGTGATGGCGGGGGTTAGTCGTTGGGCCATGCGTTGGATCCGAATTTGGAGACTGTTTGAGCCGGCTGGTCGGATTTCTGGGGGTTCCTTTTTGGCCCACCAGTCATCTGGGAAGCAGAGGTAGAGGCCTTCGGCCTGGGTGGGGTTGTTAGTTTGATGAGATTTATGAGTAAGGAAGATTGGGTGAAGGGTGATGGGGGAACTCACGATCTTCTCAGCATCATCAGGCGTGCATTTCTCGATACGCAACTCCGATTCCGACAGCCGCCTTGAGGGCTCTACAGGCATTGTCTGGAAGCCATCTGAGTTATCCGTCGGCACTTTGATGAACTCTGCTTTTTGGTCCGTCATGCTTGCGAGTGTTGTGGTTAAAGTCCTTAACGTCGAGACATGCGCAAGATGAGGGGGTGTGACAACAGTGGCACTGAACTACCCAGGCAGGCGCCCTCCAACACACTTATGTAGATACCAGAACAGTAGACCTGCGTGAAGGTAGTAGCATTACGCCCTTTCCTAGCGCTTACTCGCGCGAAATTATCCGACGGAATGCTCAAATGTTTGCAATCAATCGACTCATCCTTGCTCATGCGCATCGGAGTAGACACCGACCGAGAGCACTTGAGGAGAGCGCGAACGCGGTGTCACGCGTTACCCGAAATGTACTAGTTGCGGACGCCATTGCTCCGCTCGGAAACGGAATGGAACGCTGCGCCTTCGCTGCAACCACATCGCGACTTTGACACCACCATCACACCTTACGCTGTAGCCACAGTTCACAGCATTATGAATCTCGCTCGATCGATTTCGTGAGCTTCGCGACAATTGAACGCGACATTGCATTAGTAGGCACGAGGGAGTACGCAATAATGGCACGAACGTCGACCCGCTCGAAGAACCTCTCTAGACTTTCACCTCGATCGCTTGCAAGCCATGGGGGGCACTAAAAACAACAGTTTTACCGCATTCGATGACTATACTACCTTCAAAGATGCCAGAGCCTGTTGTCCGTATTGCAGCTGCGGCGGTGTTGTCCCTCCTCCTGTCCCGTCACACTGGCGGGGAAGATGATCACTAATGTCATCGAGTGTTTGTCGTCCGTCATCAGGCTCTTTGCTGATAGACAGCAAGCATCTTCAAGCGTCAGAAGTGACCTTAGCAAGCTTGTCAGCGTGATGGCAGTACATAACGCTCGTCTTCTCAAGAGGCCGATGCTGTTCCTAGCACTTCGATCAGTCTCACCAACGTCGATATGGACACCAAACACCCAACTGAGCACACCGAAGAGAACCCCGAACTGACCGAACAACAATCAGACGTGATCGCCTCCGAAGACTTCTTTCAGCATGGTATCTCAGGACTCTACATCACTGCCCCGCCTGAAAACCCCTCTGGCCAGACCACTGTAGTTAAGCACGACAAGCACACCGAAGACACGTATCTCGTATGGGACTCTTCGTGGACTTCAACACAACATGTCCTCGGCGATACAAAGAAGCCCGCATTCTCAAGCAGCGTTCTCTCCAGCGGCGCCATCATAGCGAACGATGAACTAGACCAGACGATAACTATCATCCGTAGTGTACCCGAAGATTCCGTCCACGAGTATGATAAGCTCATTCAGGAGTACGCGAGGATTAATGACCCAGCGAAGGTGTCTCCCGATGTGTTCCAAAATCCCATCCCACCACGCCCAGTGGACAAGAAAAGTGAAGAGGAAGAAGACGGCGACGCAGCGATTGCCTCTGCACCCGCTATCACTGCGCCTGTAGATATGGACAACTGTGAGTAGACTGGAGTACATACATAACATCACAGTCAGGTACTAACCATCCTCAGCGCTATTCCTTCACGTACACGAGCATCATACGAGCCACGCAACCCTTACCCTCGACGAGAAAACCATGTTACTATACCTCAACCCCACACAAGGCACCTCACACCGGAAGACCATCCATTTCAGAGGCAGGGGCGGTGAAGACCCACTCATCATCGAATGCTACCCTTTCAAAGAAGGTCGCACCCTCCGCTTTAACGACTGCGATCTCTTCACCACAACCGGCCGGGGAGATGATAAAATACGGCATAATTACAAGGAATACCATGTTCATCTTCCGCAGGACGTATGGCATGCAGGCTTCTCTCATGAAGTCATGACTGGTCGTGAAAGAAGGGCGTATGGTCCGCATAACCCACAGCAGGCGGAGTACAACGCTGGTGTCTTTCCTCGGTTTATGGATGCATTGGAAAGACTTGTGGGGGCGGATAACATGAAGAGGTGCAAGAAGGATGGCGATGATTTAGTAGATGGAGACGCGGAGGATGATGACAGCGATGGAGACATTGAATAGGTTGGACAAGGGGGAGTAGGTTTGAACACGCGGCCTTTGTAGTTGTTTGCGCAGGTATGGTTATTGCAATCATGTCCAAGCTGGAAAACGGGTTTGAGCAATCTGCACGCCGTATTCACGACACATAAGGCTCGCCTTGTCGCCTAGTGCATCTTGGTCAGTTCATCCCCATCAGACTTCAACCTATCAGCATGGAGAACCCCGAACGTGACAACATCGACCACGAGAACACTGGCTATGAAATCGCCGTACATGGGACCGCCGAACATGAGGCTACCAAGTCTGAGAACACTGAACATGAGACCACCGAACACGAAAATGCCGAGCACGTCCACACAGAAGACCCAGAGGCAGGCGATGACTGTAAGCACTCTATACCACCTTAGCAAGCTGTCGAGACAAAGCTAACAATCTACCAGCGTTGCACCTCTATGTCTACGAGCACAATACCGGCCGGGTCACTCTAAATCTCGAATTACAAGACCCAAACGCACCAAAGATGCAGCTAGGCAAGAAAAGGTCCGTTGATCTTCTTGCGAGGAAACACGGCGCTAAAGCTTTCCACATCGAATACTACCGCTTCAAATACGGATACACCCTACGCGTCAACAACTGCGGCTATACTACACGGTTCAAGGGGCCCCCCATAGAGGGAAAGTTATATGACGGCAACAGCACCACGAGTAGCTTTGCCACAAAGCCTTGGAAAGAATTTTACATGCACTTACCTGACGATCGTTGGCATGCTCAACTGAAGCATGGGAGGCCTGGGAGGTACAGCAGTATGGCGCAGGGGACGCATTATGAAGACTATGCGACACATAATGTGGTGGTGTTTCCGAAGTTTATGGATGCGCTGGAGGATGTCATCGGGGAGGGCCGAATACGGATGTGCAAGCAGAAGGACGGCGAGCTTGTTGACATAGATGCAGAAGATGAGGCGGAAGGCGAGGAAGGTGGGGGGAGCAGTGAGGATGATGATGGTGAGGAAGCTGAGATGGAGGAAAGTGATGGAAATAGTGGGTAGAGTGCAGCAGACGATGAGTGAGCTGGCGACATAAAATGGAGAAGCGAGTCGCACTGATGAAGACAATGATGTCTGACAAGATTCATGTAATATTGCAGTACTCCCTTGGGGCCGACCCTGCTGTCACGGCCAGGTCTTCATCACCCAAGACGGTGCGAACGATGTGCGTGCCACCCCCGAAAACCAAACTTCATTGTAATCACGACAGATTGATGTTTTGTAAAACGAATTACAGTAGTAGAGTATAGTGATGGAATGCAGACTCGTGATACCTAGGTAAGAATGAAAGGGCTGGCGAGCAGTTTACGAAGGAAGTCGCCATGCTATCTATCTCACGCCTCGGCGACGGTGTTGGCACAACTTCGCCCCCGCCACTCGTGGCTCCAAATCTCAAATGACAGTAGTCGACATCTGTGACATGCGGTGAGTGCTTGCTGCGAGGTCAAGCGCGACTGGCGCTAAGGTCATTCTGGACCATACATGTATGCTATAGTCAAACTTTTCGCGAGAACTCGGCTATTACAAGGCCGGACGTCCTGCTGTCACATCTGCATCCATCGCACAGCTATACCCAGAAATGTCCACCAACGACGACATTGAACAAGTTGAACACGTAACAAGGGCCCGACTAGCCTTCACACAATTGGAAAAGGCATTTCGCGCCTTCCAAGACAAGTATACTGGAGGAAAGCGCTGGTACTACAAGGTCAAAAGAGCACCCGGGGTATACATGAGAGCGGTCCACATCGATGACCCAACCCGTTTTACAATCTTGCGCGAAAATGTACAACCGTCTACCACGAATCGTGTGCCCTCAGACTGCATCAATACCCTCGTTCTCTGGGACTCCACATGGCAGGATGATGACATATTCGTAGAGCCTAGGATAGAGTTGCCTTGGGGTACCGGCATCATCCTCCATGGGATCACGATTGTGGAAGCAGAGGTTACAGATGAGCTAACGGTCTTGATTCAACCGATGGAGGGCCGTGTCACGCGATTGCACGTTTCGCCCATGACGGATTACCATCGCAATATCATGGGAGGCGTGGAATCGGCCAATGAAACGCTCCACGACTTGAAGCCTGGTCGTTGGCTGCCCAAGAGTTTCCTTAGGAATACGGATTGAGTTATGATGAGGGTGCCAATAATCTATGGTAGACAACAGGGGTTACCGGTAGCTATCTGTGACGGAGAAAATGCACTTCAGGAATGATGGCGCATGATGGCGGTCGTGGTTGTGAATGGATTGTGAAGTTTTGAGTGCCCACCTTGTTGTACTTTGCTCTTGTTATATAGCTACTGTGTCAGAGCGAATGTGAGTAGTTCGTTATACGTACCGAATGAAAAGTGGTTAGTTTGCGCGAAACCAAGGGCGAGACTTGCGCCATGATGTGTTTTACATGCCTAATACAGCGTAACACGGGACGGCTGGTGACGGAAACGTATGGAGCGCATCGGATGCTGATGTCGCGACGTTTGGAGATCGCTTGCCATGATTAGAGGGATTGATTGTCGTAGTCAGCTTGATCTGACGCATGCATGCTACTATCAAACTCGCTGTCAGCTGTAAGCTATATTGCGCCAGACCGTCAGCGTCACTGTTCACCGAGAAACCCGTACAGTATGGAACGCTACGAAAACCCTATGGCGGTCATACGAAAAGCCCTCGAAGAGATCAAGGAAGAACAAAGCAAGTCCTCAGAATTTTACCTCCCTACTCCAGTCCCAGGACTATATGTTGCAAGATGGGAATATGATATCCTAGCGCATATGACCTTCGTGCAGAAGCAAGGCGCAGATACATATGTTACCTGGGATACCCAATTGCCCCCGCCCGGCCCGCCGGATTACCCTCAGAGAGACATGGCTGCCGTATCGGGACTCCGTATTCACGGCATTTTAGTCGTTGAAGCCGAACTCGAAGCTGGTCTGACGATCCTGATTCAGCCGAAGAAAGGGCTTGTGAGACGTCTAGAAATACATCCCTTGGAGGAAGACGACAAGAAGATTCTGAAGTATGTTCGGGACAACGGACACAAGCGGCCCATTTGGGGGCCTAACTTGGGCAGACTTCGTATCCCAGACGCGTTGCTTAGACCAAAAGACGGAGACAATCATAGTAAGTTGCAGCTCATGCACTGTTTCCAAAGATCTCACTAACAAGTAATCAATAGGTGACGTAAAAGTAAAGAAAGAGGAGGGGGACTGATGGTAGTAGTGTGCGTTATGAAGACTCTGGACTGTACCTGGGAGACGAATGTATGTAGGCTTTTGCATCTGCAAGATAGACGTATTCCAGACCACGCAAAGCCGAGAACGCAATGTGTGCTGTCGTATGCATGATGGCTCTAATGGCTAGCCGAGATGCGACACGTTGAAACAAATCAGAAGAGGTGGACGCGCGCGGTGTTACAGCTGGTTATACGATAGCTTGTGCACTCGACCAGATTGCATTTGACCTACCGGAAGTAAGTCGGCGCCGTAGCCTTAGCAGCCATCCAAGCCTCATCCAACGCCTTCACCACATCTTCAGGTAGCGGGCCCTTTTCCAAATCCGCAAGATTGCCCTCCAACTGCTTCAAGCTGCTAACACCAATGATCACACCGTCGTTGCCTCCCTTGACTCGGGTCTTCAGTTCGGAGTGGTGGATACACCATCGCAGCGCAATTTCGAGCAGGGTTAGGTCGTGCTTCTGCGCAGCATCTTCAGCAATCTTCAGAGCCTGGAAAGTGGCGTCTTTGAAATAGCGGTCACGGTACATGCTTCCAACGCGGTCTGCTTTCGTGCCAAAACGGCCTTCGTCGGGCTTGATGTCTTTGGATTTGATCTTGCCGGAGAAGAGACCGCCGGCTAGAGGGTTGTAGATGACGATATCGATGCCGTATTTGCGGCACGCTGGTATGAGCTCGGGTTCGATGGCGCGAGCTTGCAACTATTAGACAATGCCCTGCGCATGAGAAGGTAGATACTCACTGATCGCGTTGTACATGGCCTGGTAGATGGTCGGCTTTACCCAGCCCCGCTCCTTGCAGATGTTGTACACCTCCGCAACCTCCCACGCAGCGAAGTTCGAAAGACCCAAGTTGACGAACTTGCCCTGCTTGTGCAGCTCATTCACAGCACCGAGTGTCTCCTCAAATGGCACGGAATGGTCCGGCGCGTGCAGATAGAAGATGTCCACACAGTCTGCGCCCAATTCTTTGAGACTAGTCTCGAAATGCTCCTTCAGCCTGTCGGGCTTGTGAACGCCAGCCTCATAAGGATACACCTTGGTGGCGAGAGTAAAGCCGCGGTCCTTCCACCCCGCCTGGCGCGTCCATGCCTCTTGCATGCCGCCAACGTACATGCGCGCCGTGTCGATCTCATCGTAGCCCTGGGACTGGAAGTAGTCGAGATGCTTAGTAAATTCATCGAATTCTGTGATGCGCGCGCCGCTGGTCTCGTCGGGACCTGGGATGCATTAGTCATGGTGTTGGGGTGTTGATCGGCGAAGCGTACCGAATGTCATCAATCCGAGGATGACTCGGTCTTTGGGGTTCTGCGCGATGAGAGGCATCTTGGCTTTCTGTCTGAGGTGTGCAGTAGTATGGAGTAAGGATTATTGATGGAGAGCTTCACGCCTGCCGTCGTTGTCGCGAGATGACGACAGCGGGGTGCCCCACCCGGAGATAAAGACGCGGAGATATGAGAAGAGCCGAACGAAACTTCCCCATTGATGGATGTCGATACACTATCGATATGTATACTTAATTTCCCTCTTCCTTCCGACTTCGTCAGATCCAGACTCCGTGTCGCTGTCGTGCCTTCCATGTTTGATCCACGTCCATGCCTTGGCGAAGATCGTCTTCTCGGATGACATCCAATGCCAAACCAAAAGTACCGCTGCAGTAGTCGGCAAACAGATTGCCCAGTAGATCCCAAAGCTTCGTTGCATAACCCTCGGTCCGTTCCAATCCAGTACAGGCATAGCAAATAGGGTAGCGAAGAACGTTGGAGGCAGAAAGATCATAGTCGTAACCGCGATGGTTTTCATCGAGTAACTGTCCTTTCGTGCTGCTATTGCGACATCCTGACTACTTTTCGCATCCTCGCGTGTGAGCAAGTTGAAGATCTAGTGCTTATGATCAGCTGGTGGTACAACGCCCTGGGTCTTTTGTATCCACGTACTACAGCCTGTTGTGTCCGGCCACGCTCTTGAAGATAGCCTGCCTGCAACTCCCCCGATTTCGTCTGGCCTTCCAGAAGCAATGCGGCAGCAAGGATGTCATCCAAGGGGGCTGAAGTGCTTGTAGTGTCCGAGAATTGCGCAGCTACTAGTTGGTGGGCTGATGACTGTTGGGCTGATGCCAGATCGTTGAGAATGTCCCTCGCAATGCAAGCGTGCCGAAAGACATTTGCGAGTACTGTCAGTACGGAGCCTAGTTCTTTGGATTCAGTGACTAAATCATCGGTACTTGGAAGAGAGTCGCGGTCCCTCTCATGCCATGCGCCGTGTCCAGTCGCAAGCTCAATAGCTCGTATACGGCCCCAATTTTCGAAAGCAGTGCTCTCAATCCAACGGACCATCTGTACAGCGCATACGAAAGAGCAGAAGCGCAGATCGTTCACAAGATCCTTGTGGTGCTCGATAGCCTGTATAAAGCCCCTCAAGATCTGCTGAGGATACTGGTTTTGCTCTCGCAGTATGAGCATCGCTTTGGTGATGGTCTCATAGGGGTCGCAAGTCCACAACATCGTATACGACACGGTGTGTAGGTAGTAGGTATAGTGTGCGCTACCTTGCTTCCGTTGCGAAAAGAATCCGTATGTTTCTGATAGTATCATGTTGAGCCAGTACGGATCAAATCCGAAAGCGTCAAAGATGTAAAGGAACGTTTGCTGGTTGCTGGAAAATACTCCGTTATGATCACGCTCCAAGCTTATTAGCCTCATCGTTGCTGTCGGTTTCTCGTTGCCGTTGTTGGAAATGGGTGCATTGATCTGGTCGCAGATTCTCGAAGTCTGGGAGCAATGAATTTCTGTCAGTTGGACAACTGTCTCTCCTTTCGTCCATTTGGCCACAGTCAAAAGCGAGATCTCGTTGTCGGTTGCTTCGAGGTCTTCTTCAAATCTCTGCTCTGCCAGAAATCGCTCCCGCGCTTCCGTTCGTAAGCCGTTCATTTAGGTGTTTCCTTCGTTCTTGGCTGGAAAGGCAGATAGATTATAGTAGGGTAGATTGATTGAGAAACAGAAGATTGAGAGTTATGTAGGCGGCCTGATAGGGCAGCTGAATCGCGATAACATTGCGGCTGAGTTGTTGCACTGCTTCAGCTTCAGCCTTCGTCTCAACAATTCTTCCTTTTTACCTCTATACGGCGATCTGGCCTTTCGTCGTCTTATGCGCGCATCAGATCACCATATGTTTCGAAGCTTTCGCAAAAGTGAGCGCGGTACAAGTGAAGATTAGCGTGACCACATAGCGTGGGTAGATTACCCTCGGAAGGCCAGCGGAATGTTTCCAAAGTTTCCACGCGTTCTTCCTTCGCGTCGCATGGATTTCATTCGCGATGTTCTCTGAACATCTTTCCAGTCCCTCTCCGGTATGACGCAACACATTATCAACGCGACTTCATGCCAAGTCGCCATGCAACAGCCCGACACCGAACTGACAGGACTGGTGCAAGTGCGATCGGAACGAGTCGCAAGCACTTGATCTCGGGTTCTACCGCATCCCCACCTCTTGAGGGTCAATCAGCTCTGGCTCAGGCCCAGCTCTTCATTGGATGAGTCATCGTATAGCATGCGACATGTTCCAACCCAGGCTGCTATCAATACTCCGGCGCCGCCGACATCGTTCTGATGGTGTCGGTCACGGCAATTGCAATATAGATTGCTCTGCCTTGCTTCCGAATGGTTCCTCGATTCATTGGAAACGCCACGACTTGGTTGGGAAAAGGCGTCTTCGCGCGACTATTGGACAGCTATCTCGGACCTACCAAGGCTCCGCGACGCGCGCGAACTGCTTGCAGCAAGGCGTCGAGGCGGAGCGTGTGTCTCGCGAACGCCGTCTGTGCTAAGGACGTGCAAAAGCAGGAACAGCACACTCCCGCGGCCGTGCAACCCTTGAAGGCGATGATGAGGAATGGCTGAAACCTTGCGAGGCATCGCGGCCAGCATTCACAGCTCGCTCGGGGCGGTGGGGCGCTCTCGCACCAATGACGTCGCTGATGGGCCGATAAGGATAAGGAACCCAACATGTTGCAGCGCTCGGCTGGTCAGGCGGTCATCATCATGCAGCTAACCTGCACCATCATGCACCATGCTGCAGCTAGCAATGCCCATCACCCTCGCAGCATGGCCGAACTCTGCACCCAGGATCGTCCCGCAACCGTCCCGCTGCTCTTCTGTACAGCACAGGTGCCACGTAGCAGCGACGCAGGTACGCACAGAAGCCGCACACAAAGAAGCATAAACGTCGCGGGCAGATCGCTGCAGCTTATAAGACTGACAGCCGGCCCTGCGCTGGTGTTCCAGTGTTCTACACTCCATTTCACTGCAGACCGACATCTGCAGTGCGCCAGACAATGAGGCGATCAGCTGGAGCCCGAGGTGTCATGTGGCCCAGTAAGCCACTGTGTGCAAACTTACGAATCAGTCACTTTCTCGCACACCATCAAGTGGGCTGTGCCCTGATTGGAGCGCAAACCCTCGATACAAGGTACTTTGACTGAATCCTTTCTTGATTTAGCTTATGGCCATGCGTCTATTGGAATTTGGCCTCCACGCCGCGACTGCGGTGCACTTGCTCCCTTGCCCGGCCGGAACACTCTTTGTCTTCACATGATATCATAATTCTCAATCCGCTTCTCTCAAGTCTCCTTCCCTTGAAACGCTAGATTGTTCCCGTCTATTGGCTTGTGTCGCGCGTCTTAAGTATCACCCGCGTCCCCCATCGTCGAATTTAGCTTTCCGAACTTCGGCATCTGCATGCATGCAGTCATCACCTCTTCAGAACCTGGATACTGGACTTGAACCTTAGGCGCATAGCGATTCGAGACTTGCATCTTGATCGCCATGTGTTGGTCCTTCAACTTTGGCTTCCCAGGCAACAAAAAGCGTAAGGACTCGTCGTCGTCGGACGAGAAGAAGAGGCGGGACCGACCGGCGGATAGCGCGCTTCATGGAGAGGGAAGGCCAGTCGCTGCAGAATATTCAGAGAAGCGCAGTTCAAAGGATTCGAGCAGAAGGAGAAGATCTGGTGACTCTACCCCGCGATCTCCGCGCTCGCCGCGCCACGAAAGAGAGAGGGAGGAGCACCGTCCGCGATCGCAACACCAGTACGAAGATGCATACCGAACTCGCGAGAGACGCCGCTCTACACTTGACGTCGAAGTGCCGCAGGTGTATCGCCGTGCAGCTGAGCCAAGTAGCGTCAACTCATCACAAGAGGCTCTGCTGAACCCACGCCCCCACCGAAGTCAACACCGTCGGCGGCAGCACCCAAAGCAAACGTCGCAAAGCACTCTGCGCGGGCGCGGAGCCAAGCGCGACCCTGTAAGACATTCAAAATCCAAGAAGAACGTCCGACCAGAACCATCTCGGGGGTGGTCACTCTTTGCGCCCTCCCCGCCAAAGACACCCAAGCGCGAACACCGCAGTTACCAGACCCTGGATTCTTCGCCCCGTAGCAACCGCTCGTCTCGCCAGCATCGCTCCTCGACTGAATCTCAGACAAGTCCAGAGTCATCACGATCTCAGAACCGCCACCACCGTTCTCGTCAGCACGAGCAGTCAGCTTCTTCGCCGCGCCAAGCGCGTTCTCGCACACCCAACACAGCTGCCCGTCGCGTGCCTGACAGACGGTTCGCTGTATTGGCTGCGACCAACCAGGCGCTTGAGGAAGTCCGGCAAGAAGCATTTGCGCAACCTTCTCCACCTCCACGACGAGAAAGGCTGCGACGGTATGAAGGTGTTACGATTCCGACATCGCAGATACCTTTCAATTGGGATTGCGTAAGCAGCTCGCAGGCCTCAGCTAGACCAAGCCATCGGAGTGGCGAGTCGAGTGGCCGGAGACGGTCGCGTCGTTGATGTGTTCATTCATGAGCATTGCATCTCGCATCTCGTTCAAGCCACGCATAGCCACTGCACCTGGCCAATGCGGTCCCGGCAGACTCGGCAACAGACAGACCAGTGGCGCATTATCACACGTTGTGTAGCGATATTTTCTTTTCTTCTTCGCATGTACTCGATAGTCTTGTAGTAGTATACCCCCCGGCATATCATCGGTAGTTTTGGGCGTTCGCATCCCATCATTCGGCTCCGGCCCAGCACAGTCCATTTGGCGTTTTTGGCAACACAATACCCATGCATCACATATTATCGCATCGCATGTAGTTTCCATCGTTGTGATAGTAGAATACATGTCTTCGCATCTGGAAAGCATTTTTGTCTTGCATTGCGCATACCTAGGTACCTTCCATCGATGAAGTCATCAAGGCGCCCTCGTGATACCGTGCACCTGGGCAGAATCTCGTCACGTGACAGCACGCTGAACATGTCTGCGACGACCGCCATGATCTGAGCACATTGCAAGTTTCATATACACGCAAAAGTACGTTCAAATGTAGATATGACCATTGATAAGCTCCTCATCCACCGTCGCAGCATGGCCACCAACAACACCTCATTACCCATATGCTACATCTCTCACCTTCTACGACACTAACCCCCATCCACCCTAGCCCTCCATCCCAATCCCTCCCTCCCATTGGCCACGGAGCATCTTCCTCAGTAACTCACACCTCCATCCCCAGTTTCCCCGTACCTACCCTACTAGGCAACTTCGGTGTAAAATCCCATGGGATAGATCGACAAATACGCAATCCGGTTTATCAAACATGCGATTTGAGTGAGGGAATGACGGGGGGAAGTGGTAATGGGGTAAGTGACATGCTGGTGTTCGGGGAATTTCACCGAGGTACAGGACGGGTATTTTGTGGGGACGCAGGGAGGACGGAAGGGGATAGGGGGCTTGGCGGTGGGGCGTGCGTGGAGCAGGGGAGGAGCTCGAGCACAAGACTTACTCCTGGCTGTCTTCGCTTCTGCTGTCACGTCGCGTCTTAGATCTCTAGCATTTCGGGCTACACCATGTCGTGAAACGTATTATAGCCCACCAATGGGACTAAATACCTGTAAAATCTAAGGTTTTGAGAGGCTTAAAATCTATGCTGTAGGGCTAATAATTAAATGTGGAATAGCTTTGCCACCTTCGATCTTATCTTTAATTGGATTAAATCCCTACTAGAGGCTCATGCCCATTGGAAGACCATAACACGATTCACGACATGGTGTACACTTTTTACACGACTTCACTGGATACATGTTCTAACACCCACGATGTTCTTTTCACGTCCATCACGCCGATCCATGAGACCCGCACACCGCGCCACGACATACCAATCAAGGCCTGTTGTCGGTCCACGAGCCAGCGGCATCCAACACTAAGTCTTGCAACGCATTCAGAAACTCATCCAGCACGCTCTCGTTATACTTAGCGATTCTGTCGTCCCACTTTGGATACATCTTCGCCTCTTCGACCGAGTTGCCGTGCCTATTGTAAGAGTAATAGTACTCACGGTGTTTCAGCCTGTTTGTCTCCGGGTGCAGCAGATGAAATGTGTTGTCGTCAACCGAATCGCGATTCGTGGTACCGACTGGAGCGTTCGCCGGCTTCTTCTTCGAGATCATACCACAGTCGATCAGTCGGATGCTGAAGCCTTTGGGAAACGAAGATAGCTCAACTCGGGCTGTTCGGTGTTAGCGACTGCCCTGTACAGGTAAGTTTGCAAAATACTTACAAGCGCTGTCAAAGGTGAAGGACTCCAGGTTGCCTTTGGGGCCTTCTTTCAGCATGCGCTCCCAGTCTCCAGCGTGTTCACAACGAACAAGGAAGAGATTGTCGTCTTCGGCGATGAGGTAGTATGGACTTGTACCCTGCCGGCGGACGCACAAGTATAAAGGTTGGTCCTCTTCGTCCTCACTCGATGTGTCCATGTCTTCGTCGGTAGTCGCCTGCTTCTGCTTTCCCTTACCTTTGGCTGTTCACGAAAGATTAGCAGTATTCACTTCTTGAAGCGGCGCCTCACCTTTGCGGGTAGTGTAGCCATGCCCCTGAACACCGCTGCTGCCGACCAGTTCCTCATCATCCACATTCTCCTCCTGGGCCTTGTTCTTCGGCGCAACAAGCTGCCTAGGCATCGGCTTGTATCGAAGTGCGGGATTTTGCATGGCATCGTTCTTCGCGGTATGATTGAGAACACTGCGATAGAAGTCATTCATAGGGTAGACATGCAGACGACGTTCGTTCTTTCCTGGTGGCTGACTCAAGATCGTTACGCCCTCCCAGAGTTCCTCTTCGATCACCAAGACGCTGTGTACGCGCAGTCCTTCTTTTCCGGACATATCCTTGGTCGCACGAGCCATTGTATCAGATAAGCCCCAGAGGGAGTCCCAGACAGCATACAACGGGGCTTCGCCGGTGTCTGCCGAGTTCTCTTGCAAAACTGCCATGCGTACTTTGCTCTCTGCGAAGTTGGTTTTGAGGTACACTCCTGGGTAGTCGAGCGCGTAGTACATTTCCGTCATCTTGTCGTCGTAATGTCTAAGATGATAGAGCTGTTTATGAACTTTGATAGTTTGGGTTAAGGTGCGTTATATAGTGGGCGTTATAGTCGGTTTGATGATAGCATGCATGCGTTAGGTCAAACTGAATACGGCAATCGGTCATTCTAGTAACAGCGAGCGGAGGCTGGCTGGTTTAAACCTTTTCTCGGTATTGCTGAAGCAGAGAAATCCAAGACTCCTCCGGGTGACAAGAAGAAGGCTTCCACTGCCCTACATGTCAAGATGAATAAGAACGCGGATACCAACTTTGTGATAAGAACAAGCATAGTGGACCACCTGACGTTGGTGTACACACTAGGACATGCAGGGTTGTTCTAGGTTAACGTGTTCTCAACACATTAAATGCGGCAGTCACCACTTCGGCGACGGATGCTCGCTGGCTATGCCCAGTCAAGGTCTCGCAGAACCTGAGAAGTCCAACCTGTCTCTCAGCACTTCTCTTCTCGCAGCTGCGAAGATCTTCCACCTACTCTATCGTAACAATTGCGTTGGCGACTGGATTGTTGACCGATGTACATAGAAGTCGTAGACTCACCGCGAAACATCTCCCTAAAGGCTGTTAGATCGTCCACGCCACTCCATTCGAGAAACCTATTTCTAGAAGTTTACATTGGCTTCAAAGTTACTTTTGTCTGTTTTCATATCAATGTAGACTGCAACGAATCTGTTCAGGTATTCATCTCGGTTGAATGACGCTGTGCCGAAGGCACTGGAGAAGTACCAAGCATATCTGGGTCGCCTTGGGTTACTGTGGCATCTTCCCGATATCACCAGACTGATCCGACGGTGCGGGAGATCACGAGACTTGCAGTGACTGGCAAACAAGTGCGCAGACGATCGTATTTAATCGCAACCAACCCATCAGCGTTTTGAGACTGCAGGTACCGTTCGCAAAAATTGCTCAGTATCATGGCATCCACGACAACGAACTCTTACTTCTCAAATGTCTCTCTCGGCGCATGTGACTCTGACAGGAATTACCTACGCTTCCTCCGACACCTCAAGCCATGTGTCCCCGACGAAGACGATAGCAGATGCAGCATTTGTCGAGCGGCTTTTGGTACCACAAATGCGGATACGGGGTTGTCCGACCTGCCAGTCCAAGTGTGCGGTGTACCTGGCTGCCATCATGTGTTCGGCAAAGAATGCTTGAAACAAGTCTTTCGATCCCGAGGCCCAGGTTTCAATCTTTGTCCGCTTTGTAGGACATCCTGGTTCAAGGCGAGTTGTCGTACAAGCAGGCGACCTCTCGCTGAAATGCCGACTCAACGGTCCACTAAAGAGATGGAGAACGAGATGCAGGTGGCCCGCCTATGCCATACAGATTGCGTGTCGGCAAACGAGCTGGTTCGAAGTTGCAATTATAATTTGGACCCTGATATGAGACTAATGCGATTTGCACAGCTCTTTGAGTATGCTCAGTATGTCCAAGACTGCGAGCGAATATACTGGTCACCGCGAATCAAGACAATGATCTCCGAGTTGCGGAGCAACCCGCCGGCCCAAGCTCCAGATGACCGCCACTTTTGGTATGCATCCGAAGAGCCGAATGTATCTCTGATGCAGAAGAGTTCAGCTCATGACTCTCTCGTGGAGTCGCCAAATCCCGACCCCTTTACGTTCCAGCATTATCACCTCATATCTAACAAGGACCTCTTTAGAGTGGTCGTTCATGCGATGAGCTACTGGAAAGCGGAGCGCATGCGCATAATGCTTCGCGAAGAGGACTATCTTGAGGCATTTATAGCGGCCACGAAGACGACGGACGTGATCTTGGACGAGTTTATGGCGCGATGGACCTGCATATTTGGTAGCAGATGTGTAGACTTTGCGCGTCTCATGGCGGCCATGTTTCTGCCTATGGAAGCGATGCTGAAGAGATGTCGGGAATTCAAAGATGCGGGTCGCGTGTAAAGGTAGGCGCATCGTCGGGGCGGAAGTGGCCTACCCTGGGAGTTGTATTAGTTGAACGAACATTAGGAAGCATTTCGTAGATACGTGCTTCATGCCTTGACGGTAAAAATAACACAGGTAGACACGATGCTGAGCGATCGGATATGCGGTGACGTGGGCGCGCGATGCAACGAGATGCAAGAAGCATCTATCACGGCCACACTGCCGCGCTGGCCACATGTCCAACGAACGCGCGCATATCAAGCCACAGATAAGCGCGAGCACCATGCTGTCCATCGCCCCGACAAGAGACTCGTAAAGACGCCGCTGGGTCAGTCAGGATGCCGTCAACCGGGTTGGCGGCGGGGTACATACTGCACAAGAGACAGGTCCGGAACGCGATCCACCCCGTCACCTTCCAAGAGCGATTCAAGCTCTCCCAAGAGCAGCTAACACCCCGTCGGCCCCAGCAGCTAGTGGCTTGAGTTTGCTTGTTTATCTCGCGGCACGATGATGTCGAGGTTTTGTAGCTGCCTAATTCGGCCTTAGCGCAACCGTTTCCGAGGCTAGAGCGTTCGCGTCAAATGCCCTTGCTATCATTCCAACCTCACCCCCGCCTTTGTGAACATCGCTATTTGCGTTATCACACACCACGAACGAATCACAACGCGCGATGGACACGCCGGTTGTTCTTTTCGCCATCTTGGCAACGCTGAGCTTGTCGCGATGAAGAGATTGTCTAGCTTGCTCGCACCTTAGGCGATAGGAAAGCAGTCAAGTTTGTTCCGACGATACGGCGATCGACATGCATGTACTATGCGCTTTACTATCGTCCTTCCACATGGGGCGCCCTGCCCTAGGGTCGCCAAGGTACCATGAAGCTGTATGACGCGAGTCTGGGCGGAGCTTCGCAGGAGCTTAAATAGCTGTCAAGGCTGCTTGGTGGGACTGGGCGCGCGTGTGTCTGCCTCTGTTCTTGAGACGCCTATACAATCGCTACAATGCAGATCTTCGCGACTGTTGTGTTGGCTGCTGTTGCCGCGCGGGATGCGCTGGCTTCGCCAATTCAGGCTCGCTCGCCGTATGTCGTCAAGGAGACGCATTATGCGCCGAGGGAGTGGACCAAGCTTGAAAGGTCGCATGGCGGCAAGACAATTCAGCTGCAGATTGGTCTCAAGCAGGGTCGGTTTGAGGAGCTTGACCGCCATCTTCATGAGGGTATGTTTGATAGATTGAGAGGTTTCGCGACGACATCTGAGCTAACGACGCGTAGTCTCTGATCCAGACCACGCCCGCTACGGTCAACATCTGAGCGCCGATGAGGTCGATGAGCTCGTTGCGCCTAGCTCTGAGACTCACGACTTGGTGCACGAGTGGCTCGCTGAGAGCGGAATCGACACCAGCAACCTGGGCTACAGCTCGGCCAAGGATTGGGTCATCGTCCATCTTCCCATTGAGATGGTCGAGAGTCTGCTCGACACCGAATACCACAACTACAAGCATAAGGATGGCTCTGTCGTTGCGCGTACAACGGCCTGGTCTCTCCCACGCCACCTACACGCTCACATCGACACTGTTCAACCCACCACATCCTTTTTCCGCGGCGCTGCCCACGCCGCGACGTTCGTTGATGAGGCTGTTGAGGTGCCTAAGAGCTACCACACCCCCCAGAACTCGTCCATCTCTGCTGTGTGCAACGTGACATCCGTCACCCCGGAATGCTTCCAAACTCTCTACAAGACCAAGTGGTACCACACCAAGGCCAGCCGCAAGAACAGCATCGGTTTCACAAACTACCTCGGCGAGATTCCCATTCGCCCAGACACCAAGATGTTCCTTGAAAAGTACCGCCCAGAAGCTGTCTCGCAAGCATACGCTTTCAAGCAGATCTCCATCGACAACGGTCCCGTTCAAGACGGTCCCTTGACCTACAACCAATCGACTGTTGAGGGAATCAGTCGCGAAGCCAACCTCGACGTCCAAGCCATTTCAGGAATCAGCTGGAAGACACCCATCACTTCCTACTCCACCGGCGGCCAGCCCCCATTCGTCCCCGACATCTCCACCCCGACAAACACCAACGAGCCCTACCTAGCCTGGGTAAACTGGCTGTTGACCCAACGCTCCATTCCCCGCATCATCTCAACCTCCTACGGCGAGCCCGAGCAAACGATCCCCAAGAGCTACGCCGAGCGCGTATGCCGCCAATTCGCCCAAGTCGGCGCCCGCGGCACAACCCTCTTCTTCTCGTCCGGCGACCGCGGTATCGGCGGAACAGACACTTGTTACACCAACGACGGCAAGAACACATACCAGTTCCAGCCCGCGTTCCCCGCATCTTGCCCCTACGTCACGACTGTCGGCGCCACCATGAACTTCGAGCCTGAGGAATCTGCGTACCGCCCCTCCCGCAACACCACCGCTGGTTTCCGCGATCTCTACTCCAGCGGCAGCGGCTTCAGCAACTACTTCGCGCGCCCCTGGTACCAGGACAAGGTCGTTCCCAAGTACGTGAAGTCGCTCGGCGACACGTACGAGGGACTGTACAACAAGACCGGTCGCGGCTACCCCGATCTCGCAGCCCAGGGTCTGTATTTCGCGTACTTCTGGAACGGAACCGAAGGTACCATCTCTGGTACTTCTGCGTCGTGCCCGTTGACAGGTGGTATCTTTGCGCTTGTCAACGACGCGTTGTTGGCGGCTGGGAAGCCTGCACTGGGTTTCATGAACCCGTGGTTGTATAAGAAGGGGTACAAGGGTTTGACTGATATCACCAAGGGGTTCAGCCGGGGTTGCAACGTTGAGGGCTTTCCTGTTACTGAGGGTTGGGACCCGGTTACTGGGTTCGGTACTCCGGATTTCCCTAAGCTTGTTAAGTTGGCGGGGGCGGATTGTGGGTATTAGATAAGATGGAAGGTGGTGAGGCGTGTAAAACCTGTTGGTAAAGAATGGGTTCACGCGAATGAAGTAATGTTGTATAGTAACTTATTGTTGAGTATCATGTGGTGTATCATACAGTGATCATGTGGCAATCCATAATCGCGTGCTCCTCCTTGCAAACCATCCGCGCCCCAACGCCGCGGTAATTGACCAAGGCATCGCTCACAAGGCAGCTGGGGTTACTCTTTCTTGTTGGAAACTGTTATGTAATCAAAAGATGACCTTCTTCAATGCCACTTTTTGGTTACATAACAGTTTGCAACAAGAAAAAGTAACCCCAGCTACCTTGCAAACCCCGGTGATCCAAAATACCTCAGTATGAATCGACCACCGGTCCGCCGTACCAAATGCCGCAGTCCCCGCCCCTCCAATTCTTCTCGTACCGTCTCCCGTTACTCGGCACCATTCGAAGTAGCGACATCGGGGTTGGGATAGTACCACGCAGCTACAGCTACGATGACGTAGACGATCTGTTTTGAATCGTTAGCAAAAGCGTCCAATCACCAGTACTCAGACAAGGATAGACTTACGATAAGCATAGCCCCCTCCAGATAGTTCGACTCTCCATCTCTCAGGAAGTTACCAACAACAACAATAGCCAACACCAGCAACACAATCATGAAAATCTCAAAGTTGAGATCCATGTCCTTGCCCATTGCCCAACCGACAAGAACCACAAGCGGGGCGTTGAAGAGTGCGGTCTGGATACTTGGGCCAATGCAGTGGAAGAGCGCGAAGTTGATCTGGCCATCCCATGCTTCGTCGATAGCAGTGAGGTGCTCAGCTGCCTTTTCAACGAGCGGCAGCATGATGAGACCGAGGAACTGGTCTGGGACGCCATTCTCGACAACGTCTTCGATGCGCTCGACGAGGAAGACAGCGAGAAGGGTGACGATGGCGAGGGAGAGGATGAGTGCAACGATGCACTCCGTGAACGTGAACTTAGGCTTCGCGAGGTCCTCGTGGTGATCCAGATCAGCGTGCTCATCTGCTTCAAGGACTTCATCGAAGAGCGAGTGTTGGGAGCGCGCGTTGTACCAGATGAATATGCAGAAAGCGATGATGAGCAGGATAGAAGTCACCTGACTGATTCTGAGGACGTTATGCTGCAGGATCTTCTCGGTGAACTCGTGGTGCTTGGATGCTTTTGCTACGGCGGAGCCTTTGAGCGCGGAGTAGTAGGCTGATGGGATCAGCAGACCGAAGCCAGCTACAAGGAGGAGTCCAGACCCGACTTCGCTAATGGAAGCGTGGAACTTTTGCGACATTTGGCGGAGGCCGCCGACGAAGAAACAACTAAATCCGCGTTAGCACACGTAACACGCGTGTTTACTGCAGACTACTTACAGTCCAAGGCAGAGCAGCAAGTTGGTGATGATCGATCCCAAAATCGCAGCCTGAATAACAGGAATGAGATTACCATGTTCACTCGAACCATCCTGAGAGTGGTGCTTGGCAATCAAGATAATGAAGAGAATAATCTCTACAATCGAACCAAACGCAGTCTCAATCAGAATACCAGAAACTTTTGGCATCTTCCTCGCAAACTCTTGGCCCGCGAAGCCCAAAAGATTGGCCACAGGCACCATGGCGATGTAGCTAGTCGCGAAGATGGCAATCGGCATGCCTGGCGCGGCAAAGTGTAGCACGATGGCTACAATGACGAAGGGCCAGAGGAGGTTGGTGTATTTCGCTGCATTGCTACCAGATCGCCATGCTACGTTGATGAAGTGCGATGGGTGGAAGCCCTTGCGCCCACTTTCGCCATCGGGGTGGATGTGCGAAGGGATGATGTTGTGTAGTAGAGGGGTCGACTCGGAATCATTGTTTGACCGGCTGTTGAAGTGGTCGGATAGGACGCGCGAGACGTTGTGGGAGTTGTCGTGGCCGTGGCGGGCGGACGACATGGTGATGGCACCTGGTGGGAGGATTCCGGGTATTCGGGAGTGAGGAGGGCTGTGGTTGGTGGAGGGCCCTGGAGCTCTGCGGAGCTCTCGATTGGCTACCCACGGTAACGTGGTAGACCTGAGGCTTGTTGAGTAGCTCAGGCAGTCTCGCGTCGATGATGCGAGATGCGATTGATGCTTCTTCCTGCGCAGAGCAGTTGGGATGAAAGAGCTGAGGAAGAGCTGAGGTACGAGGTTTGGCGGAGAAAGCGGTGACGCGATTCGCGACTGCCCAGACGCGGCTGGGGCTGGGCATTGGCTGAAAAACAAGGCAGGATCGTCGCCGTTTGACGACGTGTCAACCTTCTACGTCTTCAGCCTCCATGATCGACGAAGCTGCACGTCGCGATGGATTATCGCAAGGAAGCCGCATTTCTTCTGGATCGCAATGCCGCGTAAGAGAAGGAGTCCACGATGGAACCGCGATGGCAATGCATGGCTACCGCTGGCGAGAGGGCTGTGCATCAGACTGACCTTCTAAGAGTACAGCGCAGGATGCTGTACCGTTTCACAGAACGATCATGCATCGCATCCTCTGATGATCTTGCCGGGTATAACAAAGCGTTAGTAGAGTTCTCGGATCCGTCTCGCATGGTTCGTGAGGGCGTCGTGCTAACACGGGACTCGCGCTCGTGGTACAGCTCATCTGTTTACCGTGGAAAACATCGATCACCTCAACAAAAGACACCCAGTAAATATGCCTCTCGCCCAACGGAAATGTGAGGGTCGAAAATCAGAATCCAGAACTAGTGGCCCATGCACTGTCTTCCAACTCAATGGTACAGTCATCAGAGCCAATCTCTGACCTTTGCGACATCTGATTCGCGACTATACTCGTGGTTGAGATGCGATATCTTGCGCTGCGGGTTCTTGAGTGGCTTGCTGACCACTCGATGTCATCGCTAAACATACTCCCAAACCCTGGGGTACCGATTTCAGGAATCCTCTCAGGTATGTAGTACTTATAGACTTCTGAAATTGCTCCCAATATGCATAACCCTCATGGCTATTATTTTAAATGAACAACCCCACACAACCCCCAACGAACAACGCCGTTCTTATGACGACATCCCCCGTGGCATGGGGATTCCACGGCAACTACGAGGACTTTGTGAAGAATGAACTGGTACCTGTGGACAACCCACCCGCCGATGGAAAGTGCGCTATATGCCGGCTCGATCTTGCCCATCAGGACCAAAGGGAGGATGAGCCATCGGATGAGCACGTCTATGGAATGACGACCCAAGATAGAATCCTTGCTGCTGCGATCGCCGCAGCAACGGTCGAGGAAACTCCCCGTGGCAACGTCATACAGATTTGGAAATGCAATCATTTCTTCCACAAAGATTGCATTTGCACTTGGATTGACGGAGACGTCGCTGCTACGGCCGCTCGTCGATCGTGTCCGCTGTGTAAGACCGAACTCGTTCGCTACGACCCCCTGGCCCGAGCCCGAGCTTTATGCCGCGAGATTCGTACACACCAGGAAACAATAAAAGGGCTGCAAGTCCTATACCAAGATGCCTTCAACGTGCGCAAAAGGGTGCAAGACCTCAGGATGAACATAGACAGACTTAGGCGGGAGTTCAGTCACGAGCCCCATGGTCCATCTAGAGAATATCTCCGCGGCCAACTACAAGATCTCACAGAAGCACCTGATATCACGGAAGAACAACCATTCCTCGTCCGACTCGATCGATTCTCTCGCTGCGGCTACAGCGTTTCTGACAGCATAGAAATAGTGTACCGGCACCAGCTCGGTGCAGCCGAAGCAAGATTTCAAAACAAAAAAAGGGAAATAAAAGCTCGCCTCGACCCATCTACACAAAGCTCGACGAAACAGAGCAGATTCTCAAGGAACTAGCTGAGGTGCTATACGAAAGCTGGGGCTATTCTCCCGAAGATGTATCTGCCCGGCTACTTGAAGACTTCGGCACCGCTAACCTCTCGCCTGATGACATAAGTCCTTGGCTACTGGCTGCAATCGAAGGAAATTCTGGTGTGGAGTATGATTTGTACTGTCTCCGTGTAGACGCCAACTGGTTGCGTGGAAAGGCGTCTTGGACCAAGCACTGGCTAAAGCACGCGGAAGAACATGGTTTACCGCCGATGACTACAGGACCCACGGAGAACGGGTATCATGAGAGTGCGGCTGAGGAGGGGGGTGAATCGAGTGTGATGCACATTGAGGACATGGATGAGCAGGAAGAAGATCAATATCAACATCAAACGGAAGAAGATGCGGGTGTCGTTCACACTGAGAACATCGACGACGAGGAAGAAGCATCTAGTGTCGTGTATACTGGGGACGTGGACGAGCAGGATCAAGATCAAGATGAACTTTACCATGAATTGGCAGAGATGGATTTGGGCCCTCGAGCCGAGCCTTATAGTTTCTAGCCATTAGGGCTCAAAGTCGGTCGAGTAGCGCGGTCGCACGCCAACCTAGGAAAAAACTAAACAGCCTAGAGCCTACATTAGCGCTAGGTTACTGCTTTTGCAAGTTTTTAGCTTAATGTAGCCTGCAGACCTGTTTAGTTTTTTTCTTGTATAAGGTGGTCGCTCAGTCGGGGTCGTCGTGGTGAGAGAGGAAGCCGCCCAATCAGGTTAGCGCGCAAACGACTATATTTCCAAACACTGCCTCCGCTGCCTCATTCCACTTTCGCATCTTCACATCAACATTTGCATATCGATTGCTTTGAAGATGGCGCAATCACCAAGCGACGATCAGGTGCCCGCCGACAACGCCGATGCACTGCGTCTCTCACCTCAGGCCGACGCTTCCCAAAACAACGCGCCTTTTCCTGGCATTAGCGAAGCAGAATCTGCACAAATAAACAAAGAGTGGGATGACATTTTTCCAAACTTCCCGTTCGATGAGGTGCGATCTCACGCAGGTAACCAAGATCTTGTCAGTAACAACCGTCGATCTTCTCGCTCACATCAAGCCGTTCCACGCCATGATCTGACACTCGCACAGGATGTTCCATTGCCTCCACGTCCCTTGCGTAGAAGAGCACCCAGGAGCAGCATCTCGGGTTGCGGAAGCTACGATCCGGATGGGCGAGTTCACCCAGATCGCCAAAAGCTTCTTCGCAACGACGGTCCATTGTCTCACTCACCTCAAGTCACTCCACACCAAGATATGACGCTCGCACCAGATGGCTCGTTGGACACGCAGGCTGAAGGCAGTGTATCGATTGTATCACTGCAAGAGCACAATCGAGTATCATCGTCACCCCGGGCGCTGCCTCAACCTCCTCAAGAGCTCAAAGCCAAGCGTAGCTTCGACCAAATTACCTCCCGCTCGCCGTCTCCGTCCCATGTGCGCATCAAGCTCGAAGAAGAGAGCTCGCCTGAACCAGATGTCAGTAGTTGCAGTACCGGAAGCAATTCGAATTTCAGGGATACCACGGAGAACGACGGGCGCTACTTCGACCCTATTCTCGATCCTGTCCCTGTCGGGCTTGGACAAGCTAGCAGGGTGACTACCTGGGACCCTCAAGGTAACGGAGTCGGCTGGCAGATTCTTTGCCTTGGTGCAAGCTTCGGGCGACGCAAAATCTGCGGTTACCTTTGCTTCTCGGACACAGCACAGATGCGCACATGGGAAGAATCAGATCCTAAGCGCTGGGAATACATCGAGAGCCTCAGCTCGCTCACGCGCGCCAAAATCGAACTGACCGACGTCTTGCGGATCATCTGTAATGACGGTGGGGCTCTAGCCACTACTGTTGCAGCATACATGGACAGTTTGGAGCCATGGGTATGGCACAAAGACGACAATAAAGTCTTCAGACTCCATACTGTCACCGTCGCTGCCATGACTCAAATCAATGTCGGCCTCCCGCATTTGATCCTTCGAGTTGGGATGGCTATCGTCTGGTTGATCCGCAGCTCACCCGCCCAATTCCGTGGATCCGGCACTTTCAATACCCCTTACTTCTGGTACGCTCCTGAGGACGTTAGCCGAGCTTACTGGTATCTGAATAACCTGCGTTGCAACCCCCGCGAACGAGAAAGGGAAGGTACGAAACCTGCCAAGATAGCAAGGCCAATGAGAATGGGGACGGATGCAGGCTTATCATCTCTCCACAACTCGGTATCCGAAGGTGAATGGGCTGGAAGGTTCCTGAGGAAGGACATAGTCTCTAAGCAGGAGAGGATTTCGGAAAAGCAGAGCGAGCACACGGTCAGGCGGGGTGTCAAGATAAACAGGTGGGGCGACAAGACAGGCCAATGGCGCAACAAAGCAGAAATACGAAGCGAGGATATGGCAGCACAACTCCTCCGCCTACGCACCTGGTCCTACAACACCTATTCCTTCGACAACATCACGGACGAGACCGAACTAGACAGACTAATGGACCTCGCTCGCGTTCACACCAAGCCCCAGACCAGGAATCTCGATGTCTACAGGTCAGCCTGTATGGAAGTAGAGCTCTTCGTGTGGGCTAAATCCCATCCAAGTATCCTCGACGATCGCTCCAAAGATACGTTTGCCGACTTCAAGACACTTTTAGTTTGGCTTCATGCCCGGGATATTGCGGTTGGAGACGACGAGGGGGTTGCGGGACTCATGGAGGATGCGGTTAAGGCTGTGGTTGCCGCTGACAGGGGTGGTTACAATGGCAAGAAGGCTGCGGTTAAGGAGATGGTGTATATGGCAGACCTCGGGATGGGTGAGGTATCTACCGGGTGATAGGGTGTTGGGGTATGCCTCGGTGGACTTTGTCGAGGTAGTTGATGTGCAAAAATAGGTTCAAGTGCGGCACGATACCACATGAAAATAATCTGGAGTTGACAAACATGGCGTTTGCCGACTACTAAGCTCTTCGTGAAACCTGTTTTGATGTTGCCAGTATATGGTATTCGTCACCTCTAATAATACAGTACCTTCCCCACGTGAAGGCCTTCATGTATCCGCCTACTCAAGCACAAAAGACATAGCCGCCACACCCGCCATCAGCACAGCCAAACCCGTGTTTCGTCCCCATGCCAAGCCCGCTGCAGCACTCTCGTCATCATCTCCGCTAGGCCGGTTGACAGACTCAGCGGGTACACGGCTCCCCTCTAGCACGTTGTCGGGCGCGATGCAAACAACGCTCGTCTTCGCCTTACCGTTCGCAACGGACGCGACGACAACAGGATGGGGCCGAGTGATGTACTCGTCGTACATCGTGAAATTGTCCAACTCGTGATCGTAACTCGAATTGCCAACACCGGCGGGACCATAGCCAACAAGCGGTGCTGTGTGGTAGCCCTCTGGAAGCTGAACGCCTGTAGGCGCGACGTCACAGGTCATGTTTGTTGTGTTAAGAGTGCCTCCTGTACACAAAGCGGGTTAGTAAAAACACCGGGCGCATTAAGAAGGCAACTTGGAGCTAAACCCGACGTACCGATCATTCCCATGCTACTCAAGAAACCCGATCCACAAATCTCCTTCATCTCTGTTTCGTTTAAGTGCGGTGGAGGACATACGAATGAAGCGGCCCCGCTGGTGCCGTTGGTCATTTGCTCTAGAGCGTCATCCGGGAGCGTCAATTCGCTTTCCAGATAGTCGAGGCATTCTTGCGGCAGTACGCCATCGCAGCCGCTCTCGTCGTCGCCTTGTCTGACATTATCGACGCCGTGAAAGAACCACACGCAGGTTTGGTCGAGACTGTCGGCGGGAGCGCTGAGGTACACCATTTGCTGGGCGTTGAATGCCCTGCTCTGAGTGTCTGGATTGCGGGACTCGCCGAATGTGACGGAGATGCGCAGGTCGGACACGTTTGCTGTGCCGCTGCCGTTTACGGGGTATTCGTAGTGGTCGCCGTTCAGGTTGGCGCAGCTGTCGGAGTTGGGGTGGATTTCGCTGCTGTTCTGGGCGCGAGCTGAGGTGGTTAGGAGGGATGCTGCGAAGAGAGCGCTGCTGAGGCGATATGATCGTGGAGCCATGATTGTGGAATGTTGTGAAGAGTTTTCGATATTGAGAGTGGTGATAATCGACGTTCCACAAGCGCGTCGAGTTGTTTTTGTATATCTTAAGGCCAACCACCCCATGATTCTGACGGCTCTGGATCTCCTTCCCAACTGACGTCACATCGTAGTCAGCCTTGTTTGTTTCGCTGTGGTGCAACAGGACGCCTGATTATGTGTTGTTATTTGCGGTCGCGGCTATGCGATATTGACGCTAAGCCTGCGATTGACGTAGAAAGGTACCACAGGAATCAGCCGCCAAGTCTGTGGTCGACACACGATGCATGCACTGTCAGGCGTCCTGGAGATTTTTACTAATCAGGAGCGAAATGCTGCAACTACGGCGGGTCGTGTGGCTTTGAGGCATGCCAAGCTGGATGTCACGGCTGGGCGGGCTCCGCTAGGCACGCCTTAACCGTCAGTGGGGAATGAATTGTTGTTCTTGCGAACTCGGGTCCAGATGTACATCTGGGAACTGGGTTGGTTGTATGGGCGACAATTAGATGGCTGCAGATTAGTTGCGGGTGCCGAGATTGCTTGGGTGCTATCGTGCTTCCCTTCATGATGTGGTGTACTTGACGCTCACGTGATGACGTAGTTTAGCTTATAGAAGGAATGCTAAATATAGCTTTCACCGCCTTGTCTCTGGTCGGGCGCGGATGAGAGAAAGCACATTAGTAGACGAAGCCGAAGAGATCGGCAGGACTGCGATAGCTAATAGAAGAGGGATGCGACATGTAAGTAGGTGAGATGTGGTTGTCGAAGAGCCGAAGTGCAAGCGGACAGCGGGGAAGGCTTGACCGCGGGAAGTGCGGGGGGCGCTAAGACCATCCTGGCCTCCCACGACTGGCCGCCGCCTCTATCGCCAGAACATTAACACTACCTATCTTCTCATCCCACCTTTGATAAGCTCATCGACACGCATAACTACCCGCGATCCTCGCAATGTCGACGTTCGTGATTGACCACCCTTTCGAGCTACCAGTGCGCTCTCAGAACGCGTCTAAACTCCTCCAAAGCCTATCGAAACAGCATGTCGCGCACCATCCGCATAGCCGCTGCACAGGTTGGCGCAGTCCATCGCACTGACATGCGTGAAAGCACATTGAACAGACTTGTTCATCTTCTGATTCAAGCCGCTGAACAAGGCGCACAAGTTGTATTGTTCCCAGAAGGTACTTTCGCTACCTTCTTTCCTCGTTATCTCATCACCAATAAAGCGGAACTCGAGTCTTTCTTCGAGCATGGCGATGTCACTACCGCAGAAAACACAAAGCGTATATTTGAACGAGCCAAGGAGTTGGAGGTGGATATCTGCATCGGATTCGCAGAGGCCACAGATGACGGCGATCACTACAACTCCTGCGTCTATTATCACGCCAAGTCCGGATCTATTCTGTCAAAGTATCGAAAGGTGCATTTACCCGGAGACGTTGACCCTTTCCCCGAACCCGATGCAGTCAATCAGCTTGAGAAGAGATACTTCAAGCCGGGTAATTTAGGGTTTCACGCCTTCCGAGTACCCGGCCTGGTGCAGACCACACCTGAACATGGCGAGCCCATATTTGGCATGATGATATGCAATGATCGGCGTTGGGCAGAAGCTTGGAGGTGCTTGGGTCTCCAAGGCGTCGAAGTTGTTCTCGTCGGCTTCAACACACCAGGTTTCGCCCCACAGATGTGGGGTGCATCCGCCGACGTGAGTCCAGCTGAAGCACGCGCGGAGGCCATCTTCCATCACAAACTAGTCATGCAGGCCCACTCCTACACCAATGCGTGCTTCTCCGTTAGTGCAGCGAGATGCGGGTTGGATGATGGCAAGTACGATCTAGTGGGAGGCTCGACTATCATTGGGCCTGATGGAAAGATTATGGCTGAGAGCAAGACGGAGGAGGATGAAATCATCGTCGCCGATTGCGACCTTGATCGATGTCTGCCGGGCAAAACGCGGACGTTTGACTTTGCGAGACATCGGCGAACGGAGCATTATGGTATCTTGACTTCGCAAACGGGAGTTGTCGAACCGCCGCGACTGGCACAATCGGAAAAAGCGCATCATGGAACAAAGGCTGCAGCGAGCGATGGTAACCATCAGATGTTGCCATCCGTCACAGGCGCCCCATCCGGAAAGCACGTTCGCATCCTTCTCTGCAATCCCAACGCTACTGAATCAATGACAAACGCATGTCTAGAGATGCTCAAATCAATACTCCCACCTGACGTCACCGTTTACGGCTTTACAGCCCCTAAACCAGCGCCATCAGCCATCGAAGGAAACTTCGACAACATCATGTCCGCAGCTGCTGCCGCCCGAGCCATCATGCCTATCGCACATGAGTACGATGCGTTCCTCGTAGCCTGCTACAGCGATCACGCGCTCATCAAGGTCCTTAGAGAAGAGCTCTCGCAGCCAGTAGTTGGTATCATGGAGGCCTCACTGTTCGCAGCACGAACGCTGGGTGGTCGGTTTGGCATCATCGCAACGTCACGACGATCGCAGTACACGCTGAAGGATTCTGTGAGACACTACGGTCTGGAGTCGTTCTGCGCTGGCGTAAGAAGCTGTGATCTTGGGGTTTTGGAATTGGAATCGAAGCCTCAAGAGGAAGTGCTTAGTACCATGTGCGACGTAGGTAAGAAGCTGGTTGCGGATGGCGCAGACGTGCTAACGCTTGGATGCGCTGGCATGACGAACATGAAAGCTGCTGTTGAAGCGGCGGTTGGAAGTGATGTGCAGGTGATTGATGGTGTGCTGGTGGGTGTGCAGCATCTGGTTGGTCTTTGTAGACTTGGGATGCAAACGGCTAAGAGGGGGATGTATGCCAGCGCTGCGACGGACAGAGAGCGGAGGGGTCAGGACTGGTGGTGAGTGCGTTTGGAAGATGAGCGCCGACGTTAGAGTAGGACTACTGCTGATGTAGCGTTACCACCACGTATATATCCTCGCTCAAATCCACTGCAAATTTGTAGCTGTGCCAACATCTCCCTTCACAATCTAAACCTTATTCTGACAACGCCATGGCCGAAGATCAACCTACCGAACAGCCTACGATCAAGCCTACGGCATCAGAAACTAACAAGATAGACCGATTTGCCGAACACGTCAACGAGCGAAAGAGAAGGCGTAACCTATGGGGTCATTACGTGGATGAGCAGTCTCGCATGAAGAGTGAAAGAACGAAGCCCGTCCACGTACCGGTGGATGCCGAAACTACCAAGTCGAAAGGAACACAGACTGATGATACTCCATATGCCAAAGACCCAAACGTTGATGAGCCTCCGAAAGTTGATGAAAAAGACGTGGAAGGAGAAGGTGTGAAGCTGACAAACGAGGGTGTGGATGAAGATGAGTTCGTCAAAACGCCTTGCGTTGGGGGTTTGCCGGAGGAGCAGGATAATATGGACTTGTACGAGCCATAATGCGATAACGATGACGAGACTATTGGTCGCGGGCAGACAAAAGATAATTGCAACGCGTTTACACGACCTGTTTTGGTCTACGTAGCCGTTTGTAACCATCCGTCACGCTAATGAATGTCTCCTATATAAATCTCTCCTCTTGTCTCTCTCGTCTGACCCGCCTCATTCCCCCAGTTACACACATTCCCATCCTCCCCACTAGCCCTCATTAGAAAATAAAGATCCGAATCATATATCGTAATGTCTGACACATCCCCCGAGAAAAATTATAAGCCGTATAAGCCGTCGGGAGAGACGACGAATCCAAACAAATTGATGGCTGGAATCTTGATGGGGAGTCCGAAGCTGAGGATTGTGGATCCTGATGTTCCGGATGGAGAAAGGGGGCGGAAGGAAGTGAAAAGGGACGAAACGGAAGGGGAGCGTGTAGAGGGGAAGGAGGCGGAAGGGGAGGGGGGGAATAGAAGCGGAGGAGAAGTTTCCAACGAGCCGTATTAAGAGCTGTTTTGAAGGACGAGGACAAGTGAGAGTATTCGGGAATTTCGTTGATAGTGTATTCATAGTTCACCGTGTTGTCGTGCTCGGGTGGGTGAATATTTTGTGCGGTGAAATGTTGCGACATGGGCACGCGATCTTCGTCTGGCATTCTCCAAGGAAAGACGTTTGGATTACTATTAAAGAAACTGTGTATGATACAGAATACTAAACGAACAAATCATGTTTTGTGTTTGTCAGGTCTTGCCTCTTCCGCCTTTCCTCCGTCGTTGCCGGTCATGAGTAGCGTCATCGGTGTGTTGGTTGCTGAGGTTCCTGCCGTTCTGTGTTCCGAATGTGTCAAATTCGACAGAAGTGGAGAGGTTTTCAAAACCTCCGAAGCCGTAATAGGTAGCGTGAATGTCCTCGTCGTCTGAAGCACGCTAGACGTTCTAATCCGTAATCAAACGATCTCCACATCCTCAAATGGGCGTTCCATGAACGGAAGTAATGCGCCGACTTCCGTAGTATGAAACAGGCCGGCTCGGATGTATCTGGCGCTGCCACCAATGGGGTGTATGAGCAGCCCGTGTGCATTACGGTTGCTTGGTATTTCGCAGGCTCGAGCACTCTCTTCGGTCATCTCGCCGGCGTCGTTGAACTGGAATATACGCGAAGGTTCTTCCCTGCCATTCCAGTCTTTTGCCCCCATGCAAGAGTCTACCCGTCCGTAATCACTTCCAAGTAACAAGAGGGAGACGCCTGGATCGTCCTGCTCTATATTTTCCACGTCCACCATCCAATCCACTTCACAGACGGCTACGTAGAAGCCATACGTCAGTGTTAACCTCTCACCGTTCCGCAGCCTCCAAGTTTGCTCCGGTTTGATGATCTTGCCGCCGATCCGAAGTTTGCATTCGGTAAGTCGCCTATAAGGATTCGCACTAGTACCTTCAGACGTACATGTAGCCCCAAGGTGGCGACACTCTGAGCGAAAGTCTACGGTCCTACTGTAGCAAAGTAGTGAGTCCTCTGACCTTGTTGGATTGAATTCTCTGAACCGAATGTAGCAACAGTGCGTCCAGCTCCATGAAGGGCCGATATATGTATCGGGTGTTTCGGATATTGACCGTGCGAATAATTGCTCTTTAGTAAAGTCATCAAATTGATGGGCGTACCAAAATAGCTCTTCAGGTAGTGCATCCTTCCACAGCCCTGCAATGTAAGTCCAATTAGTTGCTTCGGCCATAAGCTTTGCCAGTCCTGCTATTGCCGGAAACCGATCTCTAGACTTGGTGCTCCGGCGATAGACATATGAGCTTATAAGTCTGTGCCAATCTCTGAGAATGTTTCCGTCAGGGGCCCCTTGCTTGTACCGCTGCAGTCCATGGGAGAAGAGTGATACACGATCCAATGGAAGGGGCTCCATTTCAGTGGTTCTTCGTGTCGGGCATGAGAAATGGACTCGACGAGCTCCAAAGTATAGTGGCCTCTGTGACAACTCTTCTTCTTGTAGCGTCCAAGCGCGGAGGGACCATGCGCCACAGTTCAGGTCTTTGTCACGCTGGGTGATGGCAACGTCTCCTCCCGGTCCCCGACGCGTATGGCGTTCAGGGCGCAGGTTGAGAAGACCATTCACACCGGGCTGTAAGGAAGACTGGAAGGCAACGCTGACTGGTGCGGCAGGTCGTTCAAGGAAGCTATCCAGACAAGAGGAGGTTGATATAGCGCAGATGGTGACATAAGCATTCGCATAAACGGACCCCATGCGCTCAGCCTCATGTGTCCAGTCTTCCATGTCATCTTGGATAATGCAAAGTGCATCGATCCAGATATACCTAATCGACAAGGCTCTTGCTGTCTTGACCATGTCTTGCATGACGGGGGTCATCTCATCGAAGAGAATACCGTTAAGATGCTGCGACAAGACCGCAGTTGTAGTAGTAAGCTGTCGAGCAGCTTGTTCTTCTGTACCCCAGCAATAGCTAAGCGCGGCGTAACGGCTTGATGGCTTTAATTGCGTATCCGAGGTAGCTATCAAGCATATGTTTCCTCCTTGTCGTTTTGGAAACAGCTTCAAATGCTCAAGTCCTTGGACGTTTGTCGCCGTTCCTCCACGGTTGTAGCCCCCTCTACCTCCTGCTTCTACATAGGGCTTCTGGGGAGCAATGAGATGCATTTGCGACTCCTAAATGTCCTCCTAGGGACATACAGAACGCGTAGATACTCTATTGCACCCCTTTCTCTGTAGTTCCTAGGTCAAATCCTGGCTCTTTGCCTTTATGCTTTTGCATAAGGTTTAAGAGCGTCGAACTTTATAGCTTAGTTTTAATTCCTAGAACCTTTAAAAGAATATATACACTGCTGCCTACTGTAAAATAAGGTGTTTAGGAAATACACCTGCATTGCGATTATATACTGTGTTACTTAACCGCGTTGTGCCCGCATTTCTGCACCAGCACACTCAACAAAGCAATGTTTCCTCCTTGGTCGTTGTTCCCAAGATCGATGAGACGTGTTGGCAGGAAAATCGATGCCGGTGCTGAACCACATTCAGCGTCGCATTGGTTCAGAAGTCCTCTCATCCAAGCGACATTTCCCTCGCACAGCGTTTGTGCCCATGGAGCGATCTCTGTTCTGAGCTATCTCTGGCAATCACCTGGTACAATCAGAGAGAACGTCCAGTGGATCGGGTCAAATATTACCTTCTTTGCAGTCGACATCAAAATCACCTACCGTATAGACCAAACAGCTTCGAGGCTCATAATTGAGAACAACTTCCATACTCGCCCGAAGTAGGCAAACCCAGTACCGAGTAATTTCTTTGAAATCCCAGTAATAGTTTAGTTGGAATGTGACTTGATCAAGTTCGGCGATGTTATTTTCAAGCGCGGCACTGCGTAGCATGGCGCAGAACGCACATCCTGCTTCAGCCGAAGCTCTCATGTAAGGCAAGTCTGGTAAAAGGTCGGGGTATGTGTAATCCAATGACAGCATCCGGAAGGGTTCGGCGTCACCACGGAAATCCAACACCTCTTCTCCATTGTCGTCTAGAGTCCTGTGGCCAGCTAGTTCTCTGTCGTTGATGCGCAAGACGGAACATTTGTCGCAAAGCGTCGACTCCTCGGCGTTGAATATATGCTCCGTGGCGGCCATTGGGATGACGTCAGTACAAACAACTCAAACAGAACGTGAAGGAGATATGTTCAGGGCATCTTTTGAGATGTAACGAGATAGGGAGGGGCTTGAAGAGGCGAGACATTCTGGTCCCCAGGTTGACGATAAGCAGAGGATAAGAAGAGAAGCCTGACTTTGAAGCGCGGGGTTGCAAGCCATCACATGCGCAGCCACAGCCGAACAGCTCCATTAGCAAGTCACAACGTAATTCTGTGTTGTTCTCCACGCGTCGCTCTCGGATGAAGAAGGATGCAGCCATTGCTCGACGCGGAGTCGAACTGAACCTTTACCCTGACGTCTGCTTGCCAAAATCTGTCTGTTGATATCGTGCCGTATTCGGCTAATCTGGATCGAGTCGATTTTGGGAAGGCCACATTCGACCGTAATTCGCACTCCAAGGCTGGCGTAATTGACGCTGGTAATGACCTAATGCAGGACGCTCAAGTTGTCGAGATGCAGGTGGGCGTTGCTCTCGGTGTGTCGGCTAACCGAAACTAGCATGCGATGACAGGGATCGCGCCTTCCTCTGTTTACCGTCCGAGCGCAGGCCCAAACAATCGATATCCGACATCCGCAACACCAACGTCAACGACAACGACGACGCGCTTGTGCTTTTGGCCGCGCCGGGGTATGCTTTACTGTTATCTTTCCCTTCGCTAGACGTAGGTACATACGATTTAATGATGGAGACTGCCAACGAGAATACGGTACGTATCCCCATCCCTTGCCCGGCTCGAGTCTAATCTCACGACCATTGTAGGGTATCGCGAAGCGCTCGGGCATCAAACCGCCGTCTACCTTCTCCCACATCACGTCGCCGCCTCCTAAAGCCCTAGGCGAATTGCACGAAGCCGGCGCGAACGCACGCAGTGGAATGCCGATACCCACGGCGAAACACAAGCCCTCCGGCTGTAAACTGCCCCTCTCCATACCAGTCGCACCGGACAGGTCGCTGACTCTCCCAGTACCCGAGCCTGCGTTCAAGCAACGGAAGACGCTCGCAGAGCAAGCGGGCGAGCCCATTTCTCGAAGAATACCCCCGCCGCCCAAGACGTCGAATGGCATCAAAGGTACCCTCGCACGTGGACTCGCAGCGTCCACGTCGCGCGCTACTTCGAAACCGACAGCGAGACATCCTGCCGCCTCCACGCTCAGTGGCAGTGTTGGTGGGGCTCCTAAGACTACCGGGGCAGCGAGGCCAAAATCAGCCTACGGTCACGGAAGCCATGTTAGGAGCAAGTCCTACCAGCAAGGGCCGCGTCCGGCGACAGCAATGCTGAGCAGAGATGACGATGACGACAGCGAGCAAGCAGAGCGCAAAGGTGTGCAACCATTTCTTATGTCTACGA